CGAAAACTTCATTTATACCATCAGGTTTTCCATTTGGACCCGTAATGTCTGCTTCGTGTGCTTCCCAATTTGGTCCATGACGTTTGGCATATGCTTGAGCTTCTGGTAATGTTAAAACGTTTCTCATTTGTTTAACATCCTTTTGAAGACCGGCAACAATGTGGACTAATTCTTTCATTCCGTCTGGAACTTTCATAGTTCTATTATATGCACCCTTTTTGTTTGTTCCTTGTTTTAATGGAACCTGTAGAAGATTTGCTATTTCACTCATGTTTAATTATAAATAAAAAATAAAAATTAATTATAAAAAGTTAATCAAATTTAACACTTCCTTTATTTAAATCAACTATTATTTTTCCATGTTCTCCTAATTGCTGATATTGTGTGTAAAGTTCATTAATGCTCATTGGTAAATTCACTTGATAAAGCATAACGTTCAACTGTTGACGACTAAACCCACTGAAAATGAAAAGTGTTGATAGATTTGATTTAATGTTTGTGCTTAATGCTTTGAAATATTGAACAGCCATAAAGAATGAACACTGAATGTGTCGACATTGAGTTAATAACTGATTAAAATATGATTTCTCATTAGTTATTAGTTTTGATTTCACGGCATCATCTAGAAAAATTAGTGAATGCAAAAATTCTTTATCAAAATTTGAAATGGAAAGTGTTTCAAATAATTCATCCCGTTGTTTATCAATAATTTTATCCTCTAATCCTTGCTTCTTGATTGTATTATATAATTCTTTATACATTAAAAAGTTTTTTAAATAATCTTCTGCTTCTTCTTGTGATAAATAAATAATTGGAATTTTGATTAAATGCTTTAAAGATTCAAATGTATCATCTGAAGGTGAACCTGAACGGTTGATATAAATTAACACATGTGAATGGGGGGAAGTGTTAGCAATAATGATAATTTGTTTTAATATCGTTAATGTTTTACCTTTATTTTGTTTACCAATTGCTGCAGTGATTGAATTTAAGTAACATTCAGAATATGGAATTTTCATTAATTTTTCCTTAGATAGAGCATTTCTATTATCACTCAATGCTTCATTAATCATATCATCTACGTATATATTATATACTCCTGCTAATTCTTCATAAGGAGTGTATGAATTTAAATCCATTTAATCAAAAATAAAATTATAATTTTAAACATTTCTATTCATCAATATTTCATCATATGAACTTCTATACTGTGGTGGTGTACCTGTTGGATGATATTTCAAACCTTCGTCCGGTGTCCATGTCCAATATGTTGTCCTAGTAAACCAAACCTGAGGAGGATTTGTCACCTTTGAACAGTAAGTGTCATTTTCACCCTGAATGATTGGATAAGCTTTCACTTGTACTGTAACTTGTGAGTTGAAAGTTTCTAATCCATCAAAGAATATACCCGCTCCATCACGTTGAACTGGAATAGTGCATAAGAATGAAGTTTGGTCTTTCCATGTTCTAGCTAATGGCTTGCCATTATCATCATTCAGTGGTCTAGTTAATGAGTCCTCGTATTCTTCCGTGCATTCATTCACTCCATCTAAATCAGAAGCTTGAAGCATACGTGTAAAGAATATGTCACCCACTGTGGTCATCGCTTGATCGGGGAAGTTTCTGGAATCTATAGTGACCTGAAGACCTCGAAGCATTGGATTTTCTAAAACTGTTCTTTGCATTGCATTCTTCGGAAATGTTAACACAACATCTGTAACATTATGAAGAGCGTATGAGAAATCTGAGCTGATACCTTCAGGAGTGATGCAACCTCCATTTAGTGAACGAACGTCAATATGTTGAGCTGGAATCATGAATGGATCTTCCTTACTGAATAAACGTGGTATTGCTTTAATTGATTCTTCAATTAAACCGTATCCTGGTGTAATGCATTTATCCTCTAAAACTTCCATCTTTGTGCATGAAATAATAATGTTATCAACTGTTGCGTCAGCAGATGTAGCGGCTAAGCTTGTAATTAATTTGGCAGGAAGTCCGATTTGTTGGAATTTGCGATCATATTTATAAACATGATTCATAATCTTTTCATAATTTTCATCAGTTATCTTTTCATAAACGTAATTTTGTAAATCAGCAACTCTTAACGGGTCAACCTGACAAAATACTAAAGTATCCCTGAAAACATAATATTTAAGAATGATTTCACCAAATGATTTAGGATAATCATCGAACGCCTGAAATGCTAACAAATCATTTACCGGAATAATCATATCAAAAGTGATATCAACTTCTTCATTTGCTTTCTTGAAAACTTCTGAAGGGTCAATATATTTACCACATACTGAGTTATCATATTTTTGAACATTATTATATAACGAATGAACAAACTTTTTAACTTTCCTTTCTGATTTTGGTTTATATGTTGCAAATGCGAAAGATTCACGGGCGCAATCCATTTGAAGATAACCAGCATCACCTCTTTCAGTTTCTACTTCTAATTGTTTAAAGCTTTGATTTGATGATTTGTAACCAACGAATAAACGCATACATTTAAAAGCGTCATCACATGTGAAAGCTTTATTTGAAACTAGAGTTGCTTTAACTTTGCGTTTAATATATGTGTCACCTAATTGGTTCACATCATGAGCTGGATTTGTAATTCTTAAATGAGTTTGTTTATCATCAAAATATGGAGCATCAGAGTCATAGCATGAACTTTCAAGTTCTCTATAATATCTTCTACCGTCATTCTTTGCGAATATTTCATTTATCTTTTCGAATGAATGAAATACATTTCCATTAATCGGTTTAGTGTTTGGCACTAAATAGTTAGTCGTCATTTATTAATAAATAAAAAATCAAAATTAAAAGATGAAAATGAATTTTTAATTTTAATGAAATAATCAACTATGGCTGCAGGTATATTTAAGAAACTGTGGGATAAAGTAAAAAGAGGAGCGCATAAAGTTTGGGAAACAATGAAGAAGGAGCAAATTGGATATTTAAGAATAAAGAAGCAATTAGTGACGTTGCTGAATCAATAACACCAAAAGCTGCCCCAATAAGAGAAATATTAAATAAAGGAGAAAAAGTTTATCAAAGACTTCAACCGATACTAAGATAAAAATAATATTTATTTTTCCACTATCTACCCCCTATTTTATTAAGTATTCCTTCAGCAATTCCACCAATTGCGTTACCTGCTTGTGCTCCCATCGCCGGATTACCTGCTTTAGTACCTAATACTCCACCTATGATAGTTCCTGCCGTTTTCGCTACTGGTGCCAAAAAGTTTGCAACGGGTTTAATAATATTTTTATGAACCCAACCTGCAGCTTTCTTAATTCCATCCCATAATTTTTTAAAGAATCCTGCAGCCATTTCTGATTTAATATTAATTAAAAAATATATTTCATCACTTATATTTTAATTTTTATTTAATGATAAATGAAACCGATTTTAAAAATAAATGAAACAGAGGAAGAAATAAATGAAAGTGAAAATGTTCAACAAAAAATAAATGTTGTTAAACCAATTACTGAAATAAAAATTTTTTCATCTGTTGAAGAATTTAATGACTATTATGCTAACAATAAAAAATTATTTGAAGAATTGACAACGTGTAAATTGAATAAAATGTTTAAAGTTGATGGATTCAAAATTTCAAAAATAAAAGGAGTGGTTAGTTTGAAATCTATTCCTCAATCAAGAATCACCTCATTAATGAAAATAGATGATTTAACAAAAAGAATAGAAATTATTGAAGAGCGAATAAATCAAATTATTGATTTCATAAATTCAAATAATCATTAGCTTCTTAAAGTTCTATGTTGAACTCATCAAATTCTTTTTAAAGTTTATTTTTCATTCATGAAAATAATATTGCTTCCCTTTAAATCTTTGAATATAAACAGGAACACCATCCTCTAAAATTCGATAATCTATTTTATCTGGTTTTACTTGTTGGGTCATTTATGTCAGAATAAAAAAATAAATTATTTTAAAATTAATGTTAATTTTTTAATGTGTTTATTTTTTTAAAAAATTTATTTTTTATTTCATTATGCATGGGCTGAGTGTAAATGTCTTACAATTTTGAAAATTTTTTAAATCTTGATTTATTCAAAAACGTAAGAATAAAAACCGTAAGAATTCATACATTTTTTACTTCATATGTTAAAAAAAATGATACAAAATCGTTCAATATTGTATGAATTCTTACGTTTACAAAAAAAGTCACAAAACCCATCATATCCTACTACTTATTTTAACGATGTTGAACCAGTTTTCAAAGAATCTATTCAGACTCATAACCATAACTGACTGGGACATGCATTGAGTTATGGCAAATTTTACAATAAAATACTGCGAATATTGATACTTTAGGGAAAAATAAGTTGCAAGCAAGGATGAATCTTTATATAAATAGTTGCTACTGTTTACTTAGCAGGGTATAAAGAATTGGGCTTTCAAAAAATTCATTCTTGATCCACATTCAACAAAAAATCATGAATCAAAATTATACATATGCTACTCATTTCTTGAGGAATTCAGATGTAACTTAACACTAGATTCGTTCCTGTAGTTTAAGAAATTTAGATGACATCATAAATGAAATCAATAATGATAGATTTAGATGATCATTCATATGTCAACTTCCGATTAAATACTTCAGTGAAATTAGATAGAATATCTCTAATAATATCTAATCTTATATTCATGTATGGTTAATTATGCTTCTTTTGGTATGAAAACTCGTCATTTTTTTTATTGAATGATGTTTTTGTTATTTTTCGGAAGTATCAAATGTTTTGATGACCCAGAAGGAAACGTTAATTTGACAGCTTCTTTGGAAAGTTTTATCAAATTATTTATCAAGTAAGAGAATTAGAGTCGGAATATGCACCGATTCTGATACAATTGAACAGTTCGATTTGAATCCAAAGAATACAGCCATTTATTACTTCAATAAATCAGGAAAATATCAAGTTCCATTTTCTAGTGATTATTCAACCATAATAAATCGCATAGAATTAATGAAATCAAATACTCCAATCCCTAAATCAAGCCTAAAAAAGAAATTATATAATGTTGCTCAATTTCATAAAAGGTGCAAAGATAATGATATCTGCGTCATTAACTCAACAGCCATACTTGATCCAAGACTTGAAAGAGAAGAAAGAAAAATTAGTAACGAAAATATTAAATTTTTCTCAGGAGCACAAGGAATTCCTTATAAATTTATAGCAGAAAATGAAATATGGATGATAAAAGGAAATAATTCTGGAGCACTTTTCGTAAAAAATTTCAAAGATCTCGATTTATTTATTCAAAAGTCGTTGAAGAATGAAATAGAGTTTAAACCATTCTCGTACTATAAGCCAGCAGATAAACTCGGAGAAGATCTTTAATTTTGAAATATAATTTTAATTTATGTACGTTTTCTTGTAAATTATTGTTGTATCTGATAATTATTTCATATGTTTTATCATATATTAGATGCGAAACGAACTTTAACAATGAATTAATGATTTTCAATTTTGATCTTTATTTAAAGGATAATATCTATCATTAATAGATCAGTTTAATCTTTGTGACTCCAATTAAGTCCTCTCTTTCTTTTATTTCAGGAATTTGAGTTCAATAAAAAGCCAATTCTGAATATTTTATCTGTACGGTTCAGTGCAAAGAATTAGATAAGATTAAACATAAAACGATAATAAGATAAGCTGCTTTTTAGTGATATTTAGTCGATGATAATTGAAAGATTATTTCTGCAAATTTGATTTCAATTATTAGATTTAATTCATAAGTATCCATGTTATATTAGAATTTCATATTTTTTGTATGAAAATCGAGAAATCAATGCAGTTTATTTTCAAATTTAACAGTAAATTTTAAAATATCATCATTTTTGACATCTATAGAAGCAAGATATAATAGATATTGAAGTAACAATTCATAATTTTGAACCGATTGCCCGTGATTTCTTAATAAATTATAATTTTAATATGCCCAGTAATTATAGATCTTGGTTAGACTATATCCATGAAAATTTGTATTTTTGAAAGAAAATCTCTCGCAATTCTGAATCGTTTATTATTTTTTACAATTTAGTAATATTTCGCATATTAAGTAATTATCTACGAGGTGACATAAATTATTTCTCTTCAAAATTGACGATAGGTTCGAAATTCAATAAGTTTAAAGAGCTAATTCAAAAATTTGCCACTATAATTTAGCAATAGTATAATGTTTCTTCAAAATAAAAAATTGAAAAGAAATCATGGAAAGTTTTTTAAAAGATATTTGTTAATAAAACGTAAAGACAAGCATTATTGATATTTTTATTATTGAAATTTTTTAATGATCATTTAAAATTAATTCATAAGTGCATCGAATTTAATTGGTTGGACATGAAATTTGTCACCTTTTTCTGTTATTATCGAAATGAGTTCCGATGATGATATGACAAACAATCTTCCTAATCATTATGAAGATCTTGAAGAGGAAGATAAGCGCGAATACAATCAGATCCGCAGCATCATCCAACAATCCGGTAGAAATCACCGTGGAAAAAGATTAGAAGCTTTTTCGGAACTTCTCGACACTCTGAAGAATTTTGCTGTTCGTGGAGATAGTAATGATTGGAAGCGCTGCTTAGTAGTTGGTGTATGCTGGCTTGAAAATGCAATTGCAATTAACACAAGACAGCTCAGACAATTAACGAACAAATGCAAATCATCGATTAACGGATCTTTACAAAGGATAGGCTATATGCCAGTTGCCAATCATAGTCTCTTGAATGATCTTTTGCAAGAAAAAATTCCATTCTTAAAAGGAAACTTTTCGGAATTAAGACAATGGACGATTCGTCAGCAAGTTGCCTTAACACCTAAGCCGGCGATGCCAGAAGAGAAAACAAAGCTATCTCCTGCCCCTGTAAATATATTACCGATACCAACAAATATCGAAACTTCTAATGCCATGCAGCACTCGCAGAGCTACGAACAGAATATTACAGAACCAGAAAACGAGCCAGTAAATCAGAATGATTATAACTCATTTTATGACGAAGAAGCTTGCTTACCGTTGAATGATTGGGTCCAAGATGATAATTTCTACGATTTCGGATCTAATTTGTAAAATAAATCTATCTAACGTTTGAGATCAATAAAATTTATGTTTGGTTTATGATATTTCGGAATTTTCATTATTCTTACCGTATAGGAACTAAGAAATATGACTAATTTTGAAATATTAAATGAAGCATCGTTAAGAATTTAATTGAAATTCTAACAAACATGAGTAAACCTGGTATTCTTTTAATATATTAATCGTCTCCATATTTGAACATAGTTTCACAGGGAAATAAAGTTTATTAATATTATATTTACTTATTTGGTTGGTGAATTTGTTGAGTAATTATAATTGTCCTTTATATTATTGCATCATTGATTTAATATATAACAAATTTAACAAAGACAATTGATTCTTTCCATGTTGGGTTTATGAAAGCATTGTAATTAACATCAAGGCTGTAATATGGAAGTGAAATAAATACCGTTGTTGGGCCATTTTAGTACCCAAATAAATTTATCCGAAAGTTTTTCATGTTACTCCTTGAGTCTACTTCCAGAAATCTTTTTTAGAATTTGAATCATTGAAATGTTAGAGTATGATCAATGTATGCTATATTAACGTTTATTCATAAAAATATCAATTCATTCATAGGGAAAAAGTAACTTATATATGAATTTGAGCTCTTAATGTAAACATTTCAATATTCAGCGAAATATTATTTGCGAATTATATCGAATTATACATATATATCACATTGGTTCACAATTTGCGCATTCAATTTTTCTTGAAATTCATTCTTACATATGCGATATAAACATGCAAGTAGACCAAAAGGTGTCGTATTTATTTAAATTTATTTCTACAGTTATCCGAAATTTATTGAAAGGGAGGAAAATTTCGGTAAATTATGTGACAAAATTTTTATCTCTCAAGTAGAGAGAAAACTTTTCATTTCTCAGAGCCTTCAAGCGATATATGGAAGAGATTCTATGATCCTGTTACTTATGATAAATTTGTTAACACAAGTCAAACAGTCACTGAATTCAGCCACGTCTTTGTTGATGACATTCTTTTCAAAAAATTTAGTTCACAAGGTGCAATTTGAATCACTAATCCATCTGATGATACAAAAGTCCTTGTTTCGACTTCTTCTTTTTTTAAATGTTCCTCTGCAGATAATGGAGGATCCATATTTCTTTCACCATCAGGATCATTTGTTCAATACAAAGTCTGTAGTTATGAATCTAAGACCCCAAATGGACAAGGATCTCATTCATATATTCAAGTGACAAATGATGATAACCATAAGACTTTTGTTATTGAATCATCATTCACTCAAAATACAGGATTTAGCGCTGTATTACATCAATCTGGCGGATCTCAACTATTTTCATCAATAAATATTTCTGATTCAAGTCTTAGAATGGATGCGGCATATATTACTTGGGAACCATCTTCGCTTTCAACAACAAATTTTAGTAATTTCGATAATATTTCATCACAATTTTTATGCTGTTTTTATCATAGTTCTCGAACACACAATTTCTACTTTTGTAATGCTGTTGACAACAAAAATGCAGAAAAGGATCGTGGAATTTACTGTCTCCATAGTGATGTAACACTTACTGTAAATCAAAGTTTCTTCAAACGCAACCAAGCTACCGTTTTATTTTCTATTGAGTCAGGATCGCCCAATGCAAACGAATGCCATTTTGAACCAGATAATACATTTTCAACAAATTTAGAGTATATTCATAATTCAACGTTAATGATAAAAATCAATATTTCTAATTTACATTCTACTCTTTTGTGTGATCCTCCAATTAAAATTAATTCTTTCTTCTTTCCAAAAATTCCTTGTTTATCCAATTTAATTTGGAATAATGTACTTCCTTTCGAATAAATACTTTACTTTATACCATTTGAAGTCGGGTGTTTCAGGTCGGCAAACCCAAATTTTAGCTAAAAGTGACAGGAAAAAAAAACGTTTAGTATTAAAAAAAAGACCGATGAGAGCTTCGTTCGAAATATAGAGGGAACTGAGAATGCGCAACCATTCTCAGGGAATATTGGATGCTATTCCCGTTCCCTCTGTATGGAAAATTGAGGTTTTCAAAGGGAGTTAAAATAATATCAAATTTATACTAATTTACTTCAAAATACAAAAGTATTTGACAGCTAAAATTAGTTACTTTAGCAAGCCTATCAATACCCTTTTACGATTATTGTTACTTTTTCGAAATAAAAGTAAAAACAAAAAATTAGATGAACCTTGGCAATTAAACTTTATTAAATAATAGTTGTTTATAAATTATATTATATTATCATTTAATATTATTTTGATAATGAAGATTTTATTTTGCAATAATATAAACGAAATTTTTTACCTTATGAACTTTTGATGGAAATATGCAAATTTAAAATAATAAAGAAAGCCGCGAGCGAAGCGATCGGCTTAGTTCGAAGATTTTGATTCAAATCTTTGCTGATCTGTAATTCGCAGAAGCCGCGAGCGAAGCGATCGGCTTAGGTCTAAGATTTTGATTCAAATCTTTGCTTATATTCCTTAAATTCTTTATGAAACTCGCAACAGTTCCATAAAAAATTTTAAATTCTAAACTGTCGAAATTACCGATCGGTAATCACACCCTTCACGGGTGTGTCACTTTTAGCTAAAATTACCCCTACTCCATTGTATGTGTTTTCAATTTCGAATCTTTCGAATTTTCGCTTCGTGATTTTCAAATATTTTCAAAATCTACAAAACGATAATTTTATCCACAAAAATTTTCATGTTATTAAATATGCATTTCATTGTGCAGCAGAAATGATCGAAAATTTTAAAAGTGTCAAATTTTTGATCAAATTTTATGAGTTCTCCTTCACCGAATATTAGCTCTGTAAATTTCGACACTCCGAACATTATTGTCGTATGTACAGATAGACATGTTATTCTCAACAAAATTCCAGAATTTACACTTTTAGCGCATTGCACAGGAATGAAATTTTTACATGCTGTTACATTCAATGATTTGATCGTTGCTGTTGGAGATGGAGATATTCCTCCATATACAGCATTCTTTCTTCAGATTTTTCAGAAAGATACAGGCGTTTTTATAAGAAAATTAGAATTCCCAGATAGAATTCTTGATTTAAAAGTTAATTCATCACATTTATTTGTTTCTCTTGAAAGTATGATACATGTTTATGAAATAACAACTTTCCATTCAATAGCAACTATCGATCGCAAGTCTGCAAGCGGATTATTCACAGTTAACGAGAATATTATCGCGTATCCAGATGACAGAAAGCCAGGAAGCGTCTTAATTGCTGATATTCCTGGCTTCAGCGTCGTAAATACGATTCAATGTCATTCTGGAGCGATACACAATCTATATCTTTCCAAAACATCAAATACACTCGCTACTGCCAGTACGAAAGGCACGCTAATTAGACTATTTGATTCAAAAACTGGCGAAAAAGTTGGACAATACAGGAGAGGATATACACAAGGCGATATTATTGCTATGTCATTGACACCAGATTATCTTTGCGCATGTTCCCACCAAACTTTACACGTTTTTGGAAAAGATGGAAGATACGTTAATCAATCTCTTTCAGATCCACCTCTCGCTTGCTTGATTTCTGGAAATAGAATTACAGTTGCTCTCAAAAACGGAACTTCTTATGATTATATGATTAATCCAACGAATTTCAAGATAGAAAACGTTTCTCAGTATCGTTTAGTACCACCTATTGCTTTATCGGCCAAACATAACCGCCGCATTACATTATAATTTATTATATATTTACTTTTTTTGTTATTTAAAAAAAATATTCTTTAGTTTAAAAAATATCAATGAATCTTTTTAGAATTTCTCAGAACTGAAACATATGCTTCCTATATTGTTCATACCCTTACAATATTGTTAGGAAAATTAAAAGATTTTGGATTGTTTTAGAAATGTTTATTAAATACGCTTGAATTTCTAACATTTTCTTCATTTGAATATAATATGTAAAAACCAAAATATTGTATTTAAGTTTCTTGTATTTTCTTCATATGAATAATATATCTCATTTATTGTAATGGAAAATCCTACTTTATTTGGGATGCAATGCATTATTTACATGAGAAAATGTGATTAATGACTAACAAATGACCAACTATCTCTTAATTTTAAGAAAATTGAATTGAATAACTGATATTATATGACAATTAGATAAAATGTCAGTTCATAATGTATACATAATCATGAAATGACCTCATATTCTGCAGAATGTTAGCTAATTTCTGATTTAATCAAATTTCAAAATTCAAATTTCAAAAAAAAATTTAAGATTGTGAATGATACAAATATTTTACTTTATCTAAATAATTTATCTAATTAAAATATTTTACAAATGAGGTCTCTTTATATCCGGATGTTTCTTGACATAATCATCGATAATTTGTTCGGATTCCTTCTCAGTCTTATTCAATCTGCAGCCAAAATACGATTTCACAAACGTTGTATCACCGGAAAATGTAGAATTTGTAACTGGATTGATTTCATCTGTAGATTGTGGATTATATACAGAATCATGCAGGATGTAGGTCTTGTTGAACAGAATTGAGTGCGAATTTAGGAAATCATAAACAAGATTAAACATATTGTAGCCTTTACTGTTACCAAGATCAATTACATATAAAGGTGATTGCTTTGTTGCTCGTTTTACATCAGCAGGATTGGACTTACTCGGTAATGCTGAAAATTCTATGAATTTTTGATAAATTTCTGGTTTTAAAAGCCTTGCAAGGTATAGCTGATCCAATATAGTATTATTTCCTACAATAATAACGCAAGAAGCGAACTCTGGTTTATCTGTATCTCTTAATACCAAAAAATCTGACTGTTTTCCGAAATTAGTTGCATATTCAAATGATCTATTGTATGGTTTCTTAACTATTTCGATTCCACAAGCAATTGGAATGAAAGATGTCGAAATAAATTCGGCTGGAATGACAAACAAGCAAATTAGAGAGAATATATAGTTATCAGACACAATAATATAATAAGTAGTAATAGCTGCGGCGATAAAAGCCATCTTTATAACAGGATTTGGAATAATTAAAATAAATGTCATCATTATCGCAAGATAAGAGCTTGATTTCGGTGGATTTGCAATGAGTAATGAATAAAAAGTAAGAGCTGCTAACAATAATGCTGGTAAAAACATTGTACTTCCGGAAAATAATTCACTAACTATACTTAACGTGAATAAAATGATGGAATTGGCAGTAATTGTAATATCGTATTCCCCTCTGTATGAAAGAATGAAGAAAAGAAGAGTAAGAGTAACAGATGCGAAGAATGAAAGCGGAAACTGTTTTTCGTAGTAATGAGCAAGTAATGAAAGCAAAGCAACTATCTCTACAATATATAAAGTAACAGAAGTCTGTAAAGAAACAGCTGTAAACAAGAAAACTAAAGATAATTCAATTATTACGACTTTTTCCAGAAAATCGATGAATTTACCTTGAACAGTATTATCATGAGTTACGCTAAGACCCATTTTAGATATATTATAGCTAGATAAATCAATAAATAAATTGATTGTAATATTTTCGTAGTAAATCGTCTGATTTTTGTACAAAAGCATGTCATCGAGCTTGTTTAAGGTGGTGTCATAATGCATGTATCCAAAATATGGTTTCAAAGGCTTTATTGTTGTTTTATTTTTATAATTTATACTAATTTGTCCATAGTATATGAATTTGAAAGCTTCTTGTTCGAATGTTTGATTTTTATGATCGAATAAAAGCGACAGACTGAAAAATGAAATTTCTTTTGCTGGATTTTCATTTGTAGATTGCATAATTTAAAATTTCACTACATTTATGATTTATAGTGAATAACACCAATTCTTTCGAGTATGATAATAACCATTGAACCTATGCAACTGCAATAATAGTCATTAAATTTCATTTTTGATGTTTTATTATTTGAGATTTTAAATTTTTATTTAACAAACAAAACAAACTTATATTTGTAATGATTTTGAGGAGGTTCTCCCCAATTGTACACGTGTTATGGTTGAAATTAATGGAAATAAAAATTATTTTCCTCTGGATGAGTAGTTTTATATTGTTTTATAATGTCTTGGCAATTTGCTTCTGTTTGATTCAGTCTGCAGCTGAAATATGAGTTAACAAATGATGGTTCACCGGAAAATGTCTGAATCTTAGAAATATCAATTAAATCTGACGAATTCTGTTTGGCAACCAAATCATTGATAACTGTGACACGATCGAACAGTGTATAATGGATATTTAAGAAATCATAAATCAGATTTATAGAATTGTAGCCTTTCTGATCGCCAATGTTTAATACAACTGATTTAGATTTGCTTAGTATGTCATGTTGCTCTTTATTATAAGTATTATGTGTAAAATCAACAAATTCAACAAAAATTTGATTATTTTCTGGTTTAATTTTGCTGGCAAGTGTTAATTGTTCATTTAATGTTTGATTTCCTATAATAAGAACACAACTGCTGCTGTTTTCCGGCTTAATAAATTTCAAAACTGAATATGAAAGTTGTTTTCCATAAAATGAAGAATAATTAAATGACCTCTGATATGGATCTTGTAAGAGTTTCATTCTGCAGTTGAATGGCTCAAAAATTGGGAAAACAAAGGCAGTAGGCATAATAATAAGGCAAGCAACAGTGAGCCAGTAGTTATCCGACTTCATAAAGAAGAATATTATTGCCGCACCAACACAAAAACCGATTTTGGCCAAAGGATTTGGAATAATTATGAAAAATGTGAACAAAAATGCAGTGTAATAAGCAGAATTAGGTGTATTCTTAACAAACAATACGTAAAATACAATAGTCATCAATAAAACTAAAGGTAAAATGATGATTTGGAAGGAATAATAGTTACTTGCCATGCTAATGCCAAAAACGACAATTGATATTAAAATTTGAAGAAAATCAAAGCCATTGGTCCGTGTAAAAGCATTATAAGCTGCTGCACATATCAAGGAACTCGAAATTTGAACAAAAAGTTCAATATTGTAATGATGTACAATTAAACTAGCGATAATAAGTACTTCTAATACGTATAGATATATGGAATTCTGACATGTAAAGATTGAAAATAGTGTTAATAAAGAAATTTCAAATAACAAGACTTTTTCTAAGTATTCTATAAATTCCTTATCAACATTGTACTCATGGCCAAGTTTAATACCAACACTAGATACTTTAAACTCCGAAATATCAAAAGTTAAATTCATATAAATTTTTTCGTAGAAAATACTATCGAATGAGCATAGTATAAGATCTTCTGTAAACACTGAATCGTTGGTCATTTTCAAATATTGAAAAGTTGGCTCAAATTTGATAGTTTGATTTTGATCTTTGTTTTGGATAAAAATAGAACCAAAATATGTGAACTTAATATCTTTAGGTTGGGAAAGGAAATCTCTGGTTGCAAAGTTTAGTGAAATATAAAATTTTGAAATATTTTGCTCCGGAATTTTGTTCGAAACAGTTAAATTAATACGAATTGGCTCGTTTGGATCAACGGTTTTAAAGTTTCGATAAACTGTTTTAGTGAAATATTTATCTGGACGGAGGAACCAAATTCCAATTAAAATACTTGAAATAATAAAGAAGAATACTGCATAAACAAACGATGTTTTGCGAAAATCGTTAGTTGGCTTGCCTAAATTTTCTGGCATTGTTTCCAACCCAACTTCTTCCATTTGCAATCAGAAAAAATAAATCATTTTTTATAATTTTGCTGGGCGAATGTCTTATTTATCATTGTCTCGACGATAAATTGCAACAAATGGCTGCAACATTGAAAATTTTAGATAAATTAATTTAAAACTCATTTTACGGATGATTTTTGTTTATTTCAATAAGGGTTTCGTTTTGCGAAAAAAACGTACAATACGCAATTTCGCTAAAAAAACATTTAGCTAGCAATTTCGACCTTTGATTCCACTCAAGACGTCACTTTTTTAATTTTGCGGTATCATATTTTTGGAAAATCTTTATGAATATTATATAAAAAGTCTCTTTAATATCTATATTTCATATTTTTATCGATTTTTAAAGTTTTTGCGAAAAGTATTCAATTATTTTTGCTATTTGGTCGGGTAAATGTCAGATTTGCGACATTTTCTGATATGATATTCAGATTCTACGTTGATAATAATGCTTATAGAACCCTCTTGCTATTGTGTCAAAATTGCGAAACCGATAGCAAAAATATCTCGCAATATCAAAATTGAGATATTGAGTGAATTATGCATTATAGAGATTAAAAATCTGATTTGTGAAAACATCTCATCAGTTTCTAGCTAATTCAAAAATCTTTACTATCTTATTCGATTAAAATGAAAAGGGAATAGTTTCATTATGCTTTAAATGACAGCCTTATAATATAATCATAGTTTTCGCTCAATATGCAGCATTTTTTTTCGAAATCTATGGTCAATATCCTAAATACTGATTGCTTTGCATTCATATCTCTTACATTTTCTATACCCACATCAATATTCATTGCTATTCCTATCTTTTTCATTTTTGTTTGTTTCTCATAATTTCTCAAAAAACATGATAACTTGATATTTGTAAATATCATACTTTATAACGTAAATAAGAACTTGACCTATTAAGAAAAGCAGTAATGAAAAGAAAATCTGAAATTCATAAAAATTACAAGTTTCTGATGACAATTAGCTTAATTAAACCAGGTACAAGATTATATATAATGAAAACCAATCTCTTTTCTGGATAGTTTCATTAATAATTTTCAATGAAAACCAATCTCTTTTCCATGGAGAATAGCTTACTCTTCCATCGAAATCAATTGTTTTATATCGATATTCGTCATAGACTTTAAAATAAATATTATTTGAGTCACAACGATGAAATTCCTTTATTGTTCGACTAAGTTTTTCCTTTTTACGCCTAGCAATAACTTCTCTATTTGTTTTTTCTCTAATATAGCAAGATGATTTCTGTACTTCGCCAGTACGATAATCTTTTGTCACTACTTTATAGCGATCTTCAAATATTTTGTATTTAACATCACCGCTGATTTCGAAGTTTACAAAATGATGATAATCGTACTCTTTCCATGTTTCTTTAACTAATTCGTTATAAGTTCGAAGAATCTTCCATTCACTAAATTTAGGTTCTGCTCCATTGTTAAGAATATATTTAATCCTTTCTCTGTCAACATAAACTTCGTATTCTTTATCTCCTTCAACCTTTGATCCACTGAGTACTTTAATTTCTGACTCAGTAACTTCTTTGTATCCATAATGAGCATCTCTTGCTTCTTTTGTTTCTAACAAATCAACTGATGTTATAAATGATCTTAGCTTCTTGATTTCTGCTAGAAATTCGGGTGTACTTTGCTTTCTAGTTTGCAAGAAAAACATTGGAATATCTTTCACATTTTCTATTCCCGTAGATACCATAATGAGATTTTTGACTTCTGCCATAAATTCTATCTCCTTGACGCTCTTATCGGCAGAATACTTATAAAATGAGAAAATTATGCACATGTGATCAATGATTTCATTTGTTTGAAAGGTATCGAAAATAAATTTAAATTCATTAATCACGTTCTGAGAAAATCTATGATCAGAGAATCTTATAACTGCTGCAATTACATTTAACCCTGCAATATCATTTCGAATTAACTCCCCGAGTTTATGAATTTGATCTTTCGAAATTCCATTTTCATCCTGGAAACCTTCTGTATCAATCACAGTAAACTTCTTACCATCAACAACATTTGTTTGCTTTGATGGTTCCTTTGTACATGCATGAGGCTCTTGTGAAGTTTTGAATACTTCTTTGTCTAAAATGCAGTTTGCAAGCGATGACTTTCCTGATCCTGTATCACCAATAAGCATTATGTTATGTTCCATATCCATTTTGTTTAGTGAAGTGAAAAATTATTTTAAATTTACCATTTTATTAGAATTTTCCTAAATGTGATATGAAATTTTGAATTTTGATGAATTTTAATTTGTGTTTGGATACATTACATATTTCTTAATATAATGGTATATATTTTTTCATTCTGAAAATTATCAAAAATTTTCCGATTCCATTCAATTTTTTGATAAATCTTTTTAAAAAAATTTTGAGTTCATTTCGTCAAAATGCAAACAGAGAATACTACTAGTGGCAATATGAAAACAATTAGCAACATGGATGATGACAATTCCGTAGTTGTAATGCTCGTTGGCGATCCAGGATCAGGAAAGAGTTCATTCGGAAACTTGTACCTCAAGAAAGAAGCTTTTGAAACAAGTCAAAGACCTCTACCATGTACATTGATTCCTAATTACGAGTCCAATGTTGTTGATGGAATGGAGAGAACTGTTATTGATACTGAAGGCTTTGATGATGGTGTGCATTCAGTTGAAGAGCAGATTCAAAGATTGGCAGTAATGCTTAGAAGATACAATATAGGAATTAGCGCAATTGGTGTTGTAATTCAAGCTGAACAACTCAGAATAACACAAGGAGTAAAAAATGTTATCAAGTTTGTCTATGACGCATTTGGTGATGTAATATTATCTCATCTTTGTATTATTTTCACTCACTGCACAAGAAGATTCCCAGATCGAACTATCAAAAACAATTCTTATAAAAATGCAATCATCAAGTATTTGACTGAAATCTCAGGGAAGGATACAATTCAAGGCCTTCCAATATATTATTTCAACTGTATGAAACCAGAAAAAGACTTTGTTGCTGAGAACTTGATGCACTTTCATGGATGGGTTGCTAGTCGTCAGAAATTCTGTTCATCAGAAGTTAGAGATGCTGATTTTGGATATACCACGCAGGAAGAAAAAGAGGAAGGTCATTCAATTGGAATAGTAACAGAAGGAAACATAACATATGAAAATTTCATTGATAGAATGCGTGTGAAATATATACCAAATAACAATAGTGAAAAACCTTCATATTCAGAATGGGAGACAACGAAAGAATATAGAAAGAAGATCAAGGAAGTTTCAGAAGAAAGAGTAGATAATTCCTTCTTATGCTATTCATTTGAAGGAGACAAAAAATATGAAATCACAATTGACAAAGTCAGAACTATTACAGTGGATTTTGAAACAGGACAAGTTGAGCATGGACCATGGGGTGAAATTGCACGCCATAAGAAAGTTGTTGATTCTACAAAAGAAAGAGAAGAAACAACGACGAGTTCATGGGTTGAAGTCGTTAAAGGTGGATATAACATAGTTTGTGCCAAATTCAGGAGAAAGATCATAATTACTCCAGATGGAAATGTGAACTTTGGTGATGAAATTGAGATTCCAGGAACCAGAGTCTCCCAATTCATTAAAAACGAGGTAGTCGTCGTTAAAAAAGGTGGCTGCTTACTTATTTAACAGAATAAAAGTATTTTTATCTTTCTTTTTTCTTATGTTCTAAAAAGTGACAGATTTTGAAGATTTTGAAAATGGAAATAAAAAGTTTTAAGTTTATTCTTTCAATATGGGCATTTATAATCTTTGCTACAGTGTCTGCTCTATTAGTAAGACCTATTAATCAAGCAATTTCACGTTTTGACCGCAAAGATCAATATATTGAATCAATTTTAGATGAGATGTCAGAAGTTAGTCCAGAAATAAGAATGAATGGATTTTATGGCGATATTGATTATAAAAAACTACGAAAGATACGAAAAGGATTCCTTTATCTATGGAATAATTACAGATTTAAGGCCTGGTCCCATGATGTGATTAATGACGAATACGAATGGGAAGATTACATTCATCTAGCCCTTTCAATGCTTGCTTCTCATGGAACACTAAGTTTAATGGGCTTAAAAATGGATGTTTACGAAATAGACAAGTTTTTTAACAAAACTAAATTACAGCCAAAAGGGTCGATTAAACTCTCGGTCTTTTTTGGCCAAGTAATTGAAGGATTAATTTCAGCCTACGAAAACTATCATTCAGGAAAATATTTTAACAAAATTCAAGAGCTCTTACAACTAGTTAACATGTCAGTATACGAAGGATCCGATATGATCACGATTTCAAAAGATAAAATTATTAATTCTGGAAATTCCCTTTTTAATTTACATGAATTCTCAACAGTTATATTGGCATTACTACAGTCATATCATCACATGCAATCAAAGACGTATTATTCCTATTCTTTAAAAGCATTTGAAAAAATTCTTTCAAATAAGGCTGAATCATTGCCGAAAAACATTTTCAACAATAAAAACTTACATGAAGCTTCCAGATCAAGTAGTTTTGATTCAAATGGATACAGTTTTTATGATAATTTAGTGAAAATAAATATTCTCACGAATAATTCAATCAAATCACCTGAAAACGATGTCAATGAAATATTTGATGCGATATATAACGAATACATCGAAATTCGAGGTGATTCTGCTTATATTGTCCAGAAAAATGGAAAATCTGATGAAAAAATAGTTACCCTTGACAGTTTCTTATTCGGAGGCCTGATACTACTTAGAAGAAACATTCCTCCTGATTCCATCCAAAAATTTGGCGAAATTTCCAAAAAATTATCGAATGGATTATTTAATTTCTTAAATTTAAGCGTAAATGGCTTCCCACCTAAATCAGCAGTACTTAAAGGTAAACTAGAAGTCATCGATAGCAGTTATGACCTAAGCCATCGCGTTTTAGAAACATTATTAATTTATTATCGTTCCACTCATAGAAAAGAGTACAGGGATGCAGCATGGAAGATATTTAAGGCTGTTAATGAGAGCTGTAAGACTATTTATGGATATTCTCCTGTTATAATCAACGGAACAAACGTAACTCAAGTTCATAAGGAAGTTGATCCAAAAATATACTCAGGATTCTTTAAACTGATGTATCTGATCTTTTTGGACTCTTCTGTTGTAGATTTAGATCATTTTGTTATAACTTCTGATGGAAACATCCTAAAGATATGGAGTGAATCCGAACCATCAATAGATTCGGAAGTGTTCGAATCTGCATCTCGAATTAACGTTTTATAGAGATTTTTGTTTGTTTGTAAATTTTTTTATTAATATGTACGTGTAAACTACACAAATTAATTTGATTTTTGAGGTTTTGGCGGAAATAATTTTATTTGCTCGGCTTTTTAAAATTTTTTATAAAATGATCTCAGAATTAAAGGCAGTTGGTATATCTCTTTGTATTTCAGTAACATTTATATCAATTTTCTACGTTCAGAAGCTAATTGCACCATCTGTTAAGAAGTCTACGTATAGATTAACCGTAATATTTTTAGCATTCTTAGTCAACTTCGCAATACTTATGCATTACGATGCCGTTCATCCTGTTTATGCATTTGGTGACTCAGTTTGCTCGCTTTTATTTATTTTAACGACAGTTTGTTTATTCATCGGCCCAATATTCCAAAATTATTTCAAATTTATGTCGAGATATAACATTGTTAAGGATAAGAATGGATTTTTAAAGAATAATTTGCGTAGTTTTATATACGATTTTCCAATAATTGATGTGATCATTGCTCCAGCGCTTGAAGAACTATTATACAGATATGCAGGTGGCAATCTCTGGCTTAAAGCAAATATATCAGATCTCAAAGTCATCTTTTTAAGTCCGTTAATTTTTGGAGTGGCACATTTTCATCATTTCTTCGAATTACACGGACCATGGCAAAAAAGATTGATTAAGTGCATCATCCAAGTCGGATTTACTTCGCTATTTGGCTTTTGGACAACATTTTGTTGGATCAAAACACACGGCCTTTTAACATGCATGATTTTGCATGGTTTTTGCAATTATATGCAGTTCCCAGACTTTGCTGAAGCCTTGAATTGGCCAAATCTTTCACAAAGAAAAGTTCTGTATACATCTTACATTTCTGGTATAATTATATATGTTCTTTTAACATACATCATCGCAAAATATTAAACATTGTATTTTAATTCTATATTTCAATATTTTTTATTCAATATTTTTTGTTTTTTTCAATTTCGCGCCATAGTCTACTCTGAAATCGTAGCTTTGAAACCAGGAATAAGATGATACTCTAAATTTAATATGTTTCTTTATTATATGATGAAGAGTACTATGATTTAGAACTCATACTTATAAATACAAGCAATATTATAATCCCTTTAACATGTAACTTCTTGGTTGATAATGTTTCTCAATAAAAGAAAAATTGACAAATTAATAATCAAGAATATCATATTTCATGTATTAATTATTTGACCATGAATCATCAGAAACAAAATTAAACTATTGTTTTGTACTAATTAGCAAAAATAAAATAACATTCTAATTTTTATTCAAAACAATAAAATAAATTAATTATAAATCTGGAAATAATTTGTCTCCAAATGCAACTGTAACTATCAAACAAATCCAAATGACAATGGCTAAATATAATAAGATATTAACAGGAGGATATGATCTAACCATGACAATTTTAGCATCTGTTAAATAATTTTCATCCTCATACATATCACTGAATGTGTTGATAACTTCTTTAACATTTCCGCAGTTAAATGCTGCAGCATTAAAACTTAATTCTGAAGTAAGATAGTTCTCATCGAATTTGAATTTTTCGCGAACACATGTAGCTGCTTCAGACAATGAAGCGTTGACACAATGGTTATCTATTGGAACATAAAATCTTTCGCATTGAAATGATTTGAGTGAACATGTAGCATGCTGAGGGCATCTCTTACAGCCGTTAAAAGGAAGTCCGTCGATGCAATAAGTTGATGGATGAGATAAAACTGAAAAAATTGTCGTAATAATTCCAGCAAAAAATAGGACAGTAGTGAAGATCTTTTGCTTTGTTGGCATTTTTGATTCGTTTACAGGTGGAACTGGATATTTTTTCTTAGGTGTGACAGAACGTGGCGTTGATTGGTGTGATGATGCTTGGCTTGAATTTTGGGAATAGTCATTTGTGTTGCTTGGTGGATCTGACTCGAAAAATGGCAATCTAGAATTAGTTGCTGGAGAATGTCTCCTTTCTATCTGCGGTGACTCTGAAAATCTAGAAAACTGCTGCATATGTTGAATATTCGGTGATTCTGGATTAATTGCTGCATAATTTGTTCTTCTTGGACTTGAATTCATATCTGGGAATAATCTAGCATTAATATCACTCTCAGCTGAATATGGTTGGTTGCGTGTTCTTTGTCTGAATTGATCCTCAAGTCTCCTTTTATTCATAAACTAAAATTATAAAACAAGAAAAGTGACAAATCTGGGAAACAAATTTGATATGAGTTCCAATGGCATGAATTGCATTTTATATTTGCATGGTACGATATCAATCTATGTGTATGATTATGATGCATATAATTGAAAAATATACCGAAATTGATTTTTTGACAATAGATAATTGCTTATAATGCATTAGAAGTTTCCACAAGAGGATAAAATAGCAAAGAATTATATATTCTATTTCCACTCATTAAAAACTGGCAATATTTTTCATATCAAGATATTTAGCCTAAAAGATCACCTCAATGAAAAATATGTGAGACCTTATTGTGTGGATGAATTTTATTTGTTGAAAATCATATAGTTCAATATCAAAATCAATTTCATTAGAAATTTTATCCAAGATATGAAGTTTTTCCTTGAATTTATATTTGCTTATGAGTCAAATGCAGAATGGAGTTTGAACGAATTCTCGATTTCTAATCAACCTTCGTTCAAAAATTCGACATAAAAATGTGACATCCCGGTGAAAATCATTTTTCTTCATTGATGTATACCGATTCATCAGATAAGACACTCCAGTCAAATAAGATATTATCAATTTTCTCAGGATTTTGCTTTGGAGCAGCCTGGCTTGTATTCATTGACGCAGTTGTCGTTAGCTACAAAATTGATAAATGCAAAGTCTACGAATGGATTGGCGGCATTGCAGGATCAATTGGTTTGTTCCTTGTAGAAAATCTTTCACATGATATGTTTGCTAAGTCAAAGCTTTGGCAAGAAGATACACAATGCTATCAGAAATTCCTCCTTATCTTAAGTACTTTCTTACTTTTCGGCGCAATTGTTTCCTCAGTCGTTATCTTCGTTGTTGCACCCCATTTCAAGAACGCAACAAATGATTTAGTTAAATTCCGCGGTTGGGGAGCAATTTTACAATGCTTCTTAATCCTCGTTTCTGCATACTCATGGCGCTTCATGTGGCGCGATCCACAAGGCTATTGAAACCTTGACTAATATCCTATTAAAATTTTTATTATGTTTCTTTATTAAACCATTCTCAAAATCACTTGAATTCTAATACAAAACTTTTCAATGATGTTAAATTTGGATTAATATTAGAAATTTAAATATATCGCCAAATATTATAGAGATATTCCAATATAAGTAACTCAAAATAAATTTACGTAAATAGATGTGTTTAAATATAAAACACAAACATTTATATTAAACAGATTACGATAGAGCAGAATTTAGATCACTTACTAGTTGATTTGATAAAGGTCCTATATCCTTATCATCATTCCATCTTTCCAATAAATCTATAACATTATGGTCAGCTAACATTTCTAAAATGTTTTGTCTGTTTTCATCCTGAATTCCAAGAAGAATATTGATTAAGAATATTACTTGCATAGTAACTAATTTATCGTCATATTCCAGTAAATCTAAAACAGAATTAATGAAATCCGTTTCAAATAAAGTAGGTAATATTCCTTGAGGATAAACTCTCACGGCATTGATTATGCATATAGAAGCAATATTCTCGTATTTCGGAATCTGGGATATTTCAAGTAATTGATTGATAATTCCTAACGAAACTGCATTTTGAGCAGCGACTGGGTTTGCTTCAAATATCTCTGAATATAATGAAATTGCAAGTTCTCTTGTATCTTCTCTCTCAATAAGCGGAGGAATTATTTCAATTGGAAAGGCAGCTGCAAGTTCATTGCTCATTAAAGAGATTAATAACAGTAAAAATGCATAAGGTTCTGGTGATGCAAGCTGCGAAAATATCATGTTTATATCAATTTTTTCAAGAATTGTTTGTTTATAAGATTCATTTGCACGAGCTATGTTAGATAGACCTATGAGCGCATAAGAAAGGTAATTTGGAATCGATGGTGAGAAAAATTGTGTAAAAAATTGTATTCCATCATAAAAATATTTGTCAGGAAATCTTGAATTAACTGCAAAAATATTTGATACTATATGAAGAATGGAGTTGATAAGTTCGGGGTTTTGGCTTGATTGAATAATTTGGTTAAATATTGGAATCGTTTCTTCTTGTAATAGTATAAATGCACCAGAATTTGTATTTGATAGATTTGTCAAGATTTCTAATGAGTGATTGACTGCAATATCTTGGGTTAAGTTTAGTATTAATTTTTGATAAAATTTATTGTCACTATTAAAGACTTGTATCAAATTTGGTGAATAAGAAAGGTTTTCTAAAAGTTGAGCTGCTAATTCAATGATTTCATTATTGCCAGATGCAAATTCAGTAAAAGAAACGTTAATTATGGATTTTTCGATGAAAGTTTCAGATGGATATTGAAGTCCTGGTGTAGTTAATTGAATGAGGTTAGAATAAGACTGAAGTTTTGATGTAACGTCTCCAGTGAAAATTGTAGATTGCAAAAGTTCACAATTTTCTCTGATTTGACTACATATTTCAGCTGGAATTACCGTACTTGCCAAAATTTGGCTTGATAATCTTTCATTTTTATCATTTTTCTGGAATGCAAATTTTGGCGGCATCTCCAAACAACTTTTATCAAAAACTGGAATTCTCATAGATGTTTTTATAATCGTTGCTTAGATGATATATCTATGAATATTTGCCAAAGAAAATAGACATTCAATTTTAATTTCGATCTAACCGAGAGATTTTTATATCAAATTTGTAATATCTTTAATTCAAGTCATTTTTATAATGATAAATGCTATTTGTTTCATTGAAGTAACAATATTAGAAATATGCCAACTTCAATTCATAGTCATGAGTCATGTTGATACTGTCGGAATATCTTCCAGTATCAGAAAAGATTGAGTATTCATGAAAAATATATTGTCTCATATTAAATGTTAAAACAATTTAATCGTAATAGTAATAGCTTTTTAGTTAGAAAGATGATATGAAATGGATAAAAAATAATATAATATTGTATCTAAACAGCATAATTTGCATCGGAATCGTCGTTATAAGCACTTTCTTTTGACTTTTTTACCCAATAAACAGCAAAAATAACAATGGCTGCAAAGTTTTCAATTGGTTTTCCATCGATGGACTCAGGATTACCTCAAACTAATGGTTAACCCATTTTCCAGACAACTTTATAGTTTGATAATCAAAACATTATGTCATAACAACATTATAAGTGTGATGCAAATGATAAAAGTAACAATAGAATTTTCGAAAGAAATGAAAAAGAATTTTTATTTTCTTTCTATACAATATAATTTGCATCAGAATCGTCGTGATAAACCTGTTCTTTTGCATTTCTAATTGCATACCCAACGAATACAGCAACTATTACAATTACAATCAAAGCTGCAACTCCGGCGCAAACTCCAATAATTATTAGCTTCTTCTTTTTATCTTTTTCTTCATTGGAAGAACCCCCTTCTTTTCCGTTAGATCCATTTGTTCCTCCATTTTCTCCATTGCTTGATTTATTTTCATCGCTTCCAGATCCTGGTGTTTCTCCAGATCCTGGTTTTTCTTCTGAGCCTGGCATTTCTCCAGTTCCTGGTTTTTCTGCATTATCACCATCAGAGGGAATTTGATCTTCTCCTGATTCAGGCTCTATTGTTGCAGATGAATTACTGTCTAATTGCATTGTCTCAGCTTTGAACGGATCAACAACAAACTTCATTTCGTTCAATTTTACAGATCTGCAGAATCTCTCAGGATCAACACAAGAAATTTTTCTAGCATAGAAACGAAATGGCTTAGAAATAACTTGAGAAGCATTTTCTTTAGTACATGTGACATCTTCCCATTGAGTACCACGTTCGTCCTTGTTAACTTTAATAGTAAATGATTCATATTCATTACATGAATATTCACCACATTTATGATATTGAAGATTTGTTGATGGAAGAATTGCTTGTCCTTTAGGGCATACATTATTTGGGAAATAAAATGGAATGTAATCATAAACATCAACATCGGAGACACCAATTCCTTTTGGATCGTAAAATTGTAATAGCTCATTAGATACTTGAAGACTAACTCTGCCTGGAGTTGGGCCAGAGAATTTGAAATCAAAGCTTTCATACCACATTTCTTGTTTGGAGAAGTCCCTCATGTAGTATTTCGGGAAAACAGTTTGTGGAGGACCGATTGCAAAGTTTTTAATTTGTTTTCCATCGATTGATTCAGGATTACCCCAAACTAATGGTTGACCCATTTTCCAGTTAACTTTATAGTTTCCTGTATCCAAAAGAATGGCCAGTACAGCATCTGTCAATCTAGAAAATGGTCCAGATTGAGTTTGAATTGTTGCTCCGACCATTAAATCTGACATATAAGTTCTTGCCTCTAAATGACTTCCTGCTGTTCCACTGCCACCGCCATCTTCAATTTCTAATCCAGATGGACATTCTCCATTATCTCCTATGAATTTTTCAACTCCAAATCGTTTCACGGCATATTTATGTGCATATGGAGTTACAAGGAATTTAAAATTCCTTCCATATTTTCGAATGCTACATGTTATTTGTGGATGTGGATCTGTAGATTCATGAGGATGGTACGCATTATAAAGTGAACCGGATATACCTAATGCATGGAAAATTTCATGAACGCATGTATAAAAGAATCTACAATCTTTTGAGTTTTCATTTTGTATTTCTGTTGGAACTTGTTGTGGATTTAGGAAAACAACTCCAAATATTGGTCTTGAACTTGATTGTGCTAGAGATAGTGCCACAGCTGAAGCAAGTGTAGCATCATTTGATCTTCTTGGCCTTGAAAGAATTGGAAGTACAATATCAACTCCTGTTGCACTTTGAAGCCCAAAATCTGTTTCTTTTCCATACCATCGAACATAATCTTTATATTTTATTTTTGAATCATATGGAATTACATAAAGGAGTTTTTCCAAATATGTCTTTACATTATTAAGTGTACCTTTAATGGCTTTAATTTTAGATTTTGACAATACTTGATCATCGGTGCAAGTGAAACTTGTTCTTTGGTAAGTCACTTGTTGCCCCTTCCTTTTACAAGTGTGTCCATCATCTTTTGTAGTATCAATATAGTTATAATCAAGCTGTATTCTGATGTTTTTCCATTCGACATTTTTGAGATTTCGATGAAACTTGGATTTTTGAAACGCTCTTGTTACATTCTGCATTTCAACATCATGATTACATCTATGAGCACTAAAATATGCAACTAAAACTAGAGATAATATCATTTTATGTTTTCAGTGACGATAAAAATAAAAATATAAATTGGACTTGTATTGAAAAATATTTTAATGTACTTCATGTACTGATTAAATTGAAAGTAAAATAAGCATCATAATTTTTTCTGATTTTTATTACAAAAAATGACATAATCTCTAATTCATACTGCACATAAAAATGTTAATAAAAAATAACGATGAAAATAGTTTTGAAAATTCAGAGGTTACAGAAATTAAAAATATACTCGAACTATATCGCGCATTTAATATTGTGATTGGTTTGTTTTATATGAATTGATATCATTATTACATGAAACCAAATTAATACTTCACTTTCATTGACAGAAAAATGTAAAGGTTCATTAACTTTATGATTAAGGCATATTAAGATTGTTCCCTTTATATCTGATTTTTTGGTATCCTTTCTGGATTTCTTTGCTACAGTAAGAGTAATCTATAAATTTATTTCTTGACAATTTCTTCTTTATTCAACGAGTAGTCATAAAAATAGTTAAAAATCAATTTAAATAAATAGCATATATCTTTATTTCGACATTCATGATTTAAATAAGAAAATCTTGACGAAGAACATCTTCTGTGCTGTAACCATCCTTTCTCCTTGATCTCTTTTGTATCAATATAACAGATACTATTATAATAATAAAAATAACTAGGCCACCACTGATACCTAAAATTAATATAAGCTGCATCTTAGATAAGCCTTTTTTATTTGGATCATTTTTATGGGAATCATCATCTTTTCCTTCATTTGATGCATCAGAACTATTCGAACTAGAACTTGGATCGACATAATGAGAAGATCCAGTATTAGGTGTATTTTCAGTAATAGTTGATGAAAATGTTGGAACTTTTTCAGATGATGGTGAAATAATTTCGGATTCAGAATGTTTTGTTGTTGATGATGAAGTTGAGATTGATGATTCTGTATGTGTTGTTGTTGTTGAAGTTGAGATTGATGGATCTGTGTGTGTTGTGGTTGGTGAAGTTGAGATTGATGGATCTGTGTGTGTTGTTGTTGTTGAAGTTGAGATTGATGGATCTAAATGTGTTGTTGTTGATGATGAAATTTCTGTGGGAGAAATATAAGTTGATATTGATGATGAAGAAGTGTCATCTTCAAATGGGTCGTCAGGGTTTTCAGGCTCTTCTGTTGGATCAGGGTCGTCAGGATCATCGGGATCATCTGGTTCATCTGTTGGCTCTGGCTCTGGATCATATGGATCAGGTTCAACTAATTGAGTTGTGTTTTCATCAAAGGGATCTGCAATAAGTGTTGTTTCATGTAATTTCACAGTTCTGCAGAAGATTTCTGGATCAGGACAAGTAGAATATTTAATTGCTTCATAATTCTTCTTTGTTTTCTCATCATATCCTTTCATTTTGTGCATATACGTCTTACCAATAGTATTTTTATCACAGGTTATCTTCTTAAAGTCATATTTGTCATCTTTCACACTGTAATTATCTAAATAAATGTCAAAACTCTCGAACTTGTTGCATATATAGAACGAGCACTTCTCTTCAACACCAGGTTCATATATAGCTCCTGGCAAAATAGCGAAACCACTATCACATGCGTTTTTAGGATATGTTACATTAATGAAATCGAACATATCCAATGGCTGCACGAATTCCTTTTTGTCTGGATTATAATAATTATACCTTGCTTCGCAATATTTCTTGTACATTACATTGTCATTTGGACATCTGACATTTGAATCTAAAAAGAAACCCGCAAATCCGCCATAATGCTTGAAATCAAATGATGTCGCCCTCATTGTATCGTTTTCTGTTCTGTGGAGATAATGAGATGGAAACTTTTCTGAAGGAATTCCTGTGGCGAAGTCATCGAAAAACTTAGCCTCTTTATTAGATTCGGGATTTCCCCAAACAAGAGGCTGTGCCATATAATAATTGCATTTATAATTTCCTGTATCCTGTAAAATAGCAATAGTAGCATCAGTCAGTCTCTCAAATGGTCCATTAGTTCCTGATATTGCCTGTGCTGTCATTAGTTCTGAATAATGAACTCTTCCTGCAAGATGTGACATTGCAGAACCTTCGCCGCCACCACTTTCAAGTTCAATACCTGCAGGGCATGTTTTGCCATCACCTTGAAATGTTTCGACTCCGTAGCGTTTCTTGGCAAACTTATGGGCGAAAGGCGTAACTAAGAAAGTATAATCTTTTCCGAACCTTCTGAATGAGCATGTAATCTGAGAATGGCTTTGTCTTGTCTCATATGGATGATAATTGTTGAAAAATGGTTCAGAGATGCCTAATATATGGCAAAATTCGTGAATTAAAATTTGGAAGAAAGTTTTCTCCCATGATCTTTCATCCTGAGCATCCTTAGGTATAAACTTAGTGTTCAAAAATATGACTCCATTAATTGGTCTATGAAAATTGTCTGTTTCCATTGGAAATCCCTGTGCAAGTGGAGTATCTCCATTGTAACTACGAAGAACGATAGGTACAACTAGATCAACACCTGAATAACTTTGCTCTGATGATATCATAAGCTATAATAATGTCATAAAGAGTGTTTATTCATCTATTCCGAATTGTTTGATTCTTTTACATTCGGAATCTTTCATAATTTTTTTAGTGATTGTATGTTAAATTCAGAGTGGTTCTTTTTGGAGATGAGTGGTTTGTATGGTTAATGATAATTAATTCATCCTGCACGATGAATATGGGTGTAATATTATGCTTCTGGCGGTGTTAGTTATACGATATTGCCCCCAGTGGACTATGGTACTACTTCCCGAACCTTTGAGGGTCAGAGATGTAAATTTACTCGAAATTTCTCATTTGATGAGAGACTTCGTAATGAGCATTACCTTAAAGTACTCTTTCTACTCTTTCCTGGTTCTTAAAAGGCCTAAGATTCTGTAATTAATCGAATAAGACGGAGATTTTCCGAATTCTCTTATTTGTTTGAGAGGCATCGGAAAAACTTTTTCTTAGTGTAATATAGTTGTGGTGAATAGCCCACAAAGGGCGAGAAAACTTGTCTGTAACTCGTTTATGCTGAAGTTATCTGGATGTCTCTCAGATGAGGAAGGAAATCCAGAAAACTTCATCATAAGTTTGTGCAAATGTGATTTTCTGGCTCTTTGCTGGTCAGAGAATGAATAATAAGTTTATTGGGTGAGTAGACTCGATGCATGTCTACTCACTGCAAATATGAGAAAATAGTTTTCCATTTTTATGATACAATATGCTTTGTTACTTCATAAATCATCTATTTTCTTATTAAACCCTGATTTTTCCTTATGATTCAGAAACTTTGTATTCCAAAAAATGCTTTTTTCCGCTTTCAGAACGCTATGATACACACCACATGAGGAGATAAACAAGATTCTTCCCCCTAAGTATTACAAAAAAAATTCTTTTTTCTTTTTTTCACAAATAAAAATATACATTTTTATTTCGAAATTTCTGAAATATGATTTTTTTAGAGATTTTTCGAAAATTTCAATAAGGTAGATATATATTATTTTATGCATTCTATTAATTGTTAGCTTATTTTGGAATTTTAATTAAGATTGAAAAATGAGAATAACTAGAAAGATAAGAAATCTCATTATAACTTGGAATTTGAAACCTGTTGCCTGTTTTGAGAATATCTCACATTACAGTTAATGTATATTTTAACTGTATATGAGAGCCTTCCGATTAGACTGACAACTTCAAAAACTGTTCAGGAAGAATGAACTCGCCGAATGACATTTATATCTTCAATCTTTGCCATATTCATAAAAAGCGGTTTCGAAGTAGCGATTTTTGACCACAAATTGTAAAATTGAAAGGAAAATTCCGATAGAAATTGAGGGGGTGCAACTATCGTTAAATTTCTTTTCTGTTTTTTTAGATTTTCTAATTATCCAAGATGGCAAATACGGCTACTATTCTCAAATTTGAGGATGTGCAGCCGTTTGTTCCATCATTAGACGAAATAGAATCTGATTTTGCAAGAAATTATGCAAAAGATCGAATTTTAAAGAACTACCAGAATTATGTAAAGCAAATAAATAATAACTACAACGACTTAATTGGTGTGTGGCCTGAAGCACAACCTATTAATTTGTTTTTCGGGCTCATTGACTCAGCAGATATCGCTCAACTTAAGGAAAATTTGGCAAACAACTACCAATATAAAGAAAAAATCCTTGCGGAAACAGAAAAGAAACTACAAGAAATAGGAAGATTAGACAATTCTTCGTCAAATTCAACGTTACTTTTACAAGAAGATCAACAAATAGATGATATAATATCTGGATGGGCACCAGAAACTAGAGAAAAGTTTATTTCTCTCTATACCGATTTTTGGAATGACGTATCAAACGAAGAATTTGCAAGGAAAGTCGGATACTCAGTAGATATATGCAAAAAGCTTGTTGAAAGATTATCTAAAGATGGCGAGCTTAATAAAGAAAAACCAAAGAAAATTGACAAAAAAGAATCAAAATACGTAAAAATTTCACCGATAACAGGTATAACATTCATCAGGAATGGAAAGAAATATAGGATTGGTAAAGGACTTACTGATCCTAACGATAATCCTCTCAATCCTTTACATGGAGTACCAGATCCTCTTACAGAAAAAGAAATGTGTTTCCCAATGATATGTCCGCAGTTTTATGTGCTTGATAGATCAACTTGGGCTAAGATGATTTCAGAAAAACACGAACATCCTTATTTAAGAACTCACATGGGCACAAAACGTGATTTAATACCATTAACTATTGATAACTTCAATGAGTATAAGGACAAAATTAGAAATATTGACCTTGAAAAATATGGATTGAAATAAGTCGTATTTGATCGAATTTGTAAGTAATATTTGCCCAAAATTTTCATTGGATATACCTTCTATTTGTGTTTATATGAATGTTATGTCACTTACTTTCAGAATTTAATAATTTTTTTTTTCCTTCTCATAACTTATAAATCTTTGTATGTATTGTATTAACTTTTACATTTTTAGATATCTACTTATGATATTCTAGTTAAATAATTGTTTTATTTCATGGATGAATTAAAAATGTAGTTCATCTACATTTCATTCTAATACGCAGTGTCATTTATAACTATCAAACTCAATCTGTGCATTCTAGTGCATAAAAAGCAAAGGGTGATGATTGAAATACTACACTCATTATTGCATGAAAGATCATCAAAATCTAATGCAATACTTTTCCTTGATCTATCTTATGTTTTTGATCTTATTTTCTTCATTCATATTCATATTTAGCTCTCAAAAGTAAAAAATTGAATTATTTTTTTGAAATAAGAACCAAATTCAAAAGTGATGTAGTTCGGATAATATGAAAAAGAAGAGATAAAATGAAAACAAACATCAAAGATTTATTTTTAAAACAAATAAAAAAATTATAAAAATTTACATTTTTGAGAGGACATTCTTAACAATAAAAGACTTTGCATAGTCAATTGGAAGTCGTTGACTGTAGTCCTTTTGGTTCTTATTCGCTCCTTTCAAGATCAAATAAGCAATAAATTCACTTCTATCATACGCAGCAGCTACGTGCAAAGCGTTCATTCCTGTTGAATTTGTTTCATTCAAATCGATGCCATTATCAACCATGTAGTTCAATATGTCGTACATCTCAGGATATTTGCAACAAGTCATCACAGTTGTCTCTCCGTATATTGTTTTCGTCTTAAAGTTGCATCCTCTCGACAAAAGAAAAGTACATGCGTTTGGATTCTTTGTCATACAAGCCAAATGGAAAGCTGTGAGTCCAATGCTATTAACCTCATCGATTTTGGTTGATTTGTCGGCTAATATTTGCTGTAGTTTGTTAAAATCGTTGTTCAAAACTGCATCATGTAAAATTGTATTCGAAGTTGTGGAAAAATCAATGGTAGGATTGGATAATATCATGGACTTGCAATGAGCAAAGTTATTTTGTATGGAACAAATAAAATCTGATGAAATTATTGCACCTTTTTCCGTGAGATATTTGATAGTTTCGACTTGATCGAATTTTATTGCAGTTTCGACAACTTTTTGTGAACAAAGATTGACATTTACATTGGATCCGCTTTCAATCAGCATCTTTGATATGTTTCCATATCCTTTTGTTAAAGATATCGAAAGTGGAGTCCTTTTGAACTGGTTCTCGCTATCAAGAAGGGCTTTATCAGATGCAAGAATCTTGGAAAGACAGTACTGATGGGTTGTAACTGCAAGATGTAAAATATTATTTCCATTTTGGATTTTTGTGAAGTCAACACCGGACATGAAGTACGACCACATGACTCCGTAGTTTCTGGATTTGATGAGGAGCTCCCAATCAATGCCAAATTTCTCTTCGGCGTCGGTATATTTAAAAATCTTTTCAAATAAATCGTTTTTGTTGGCAACAATTGCAGGAATGAAGCAATGCTTGATGGATGCGGGTTCATCCTTGAGGCATAAATCCAATATTTCTGGATTTCCCGAGTAAACTGCAAATGCAGCTGTTTTTTGGCCAATTTTGTGACCATTTGATAGTAAAAACTTAAAACATTCAGCGGATCCGTAGAATGCCGCAAAATCAAGTATAGCTACTCTGCCTTTAAGGACTTCAAACTGGCAAAATTTTGCTGATTTTGGAGTTTTGGTCATTGCTGCGAGTTTTTCAAGGTTATCGGTTTTAAGATATAATTCAATTGTATCTTGTTTGTAGCCGCATTTATAAACCGATCTTATCTGTTCTTTTGGACATTTTTTGAGCTTTTTTATTTGTTCATAGAAGTCTTCATCGACATTATCTTTAGTGATATCGAACTCTGCTTTGGTTACAATCATATCGACAAAGAAATAGTGAAATCTTCTATCATTGCATATTTTGATCATCAAATTTTTATCTCCAAAGTAATGCTTGCGTACTAAGTTACGGAATAAATATCCATTTTCAATAGATATTGCTTCAAACAAAGAGTTCTGGAAACCGGTATCCTTTTCACCGAATAATTGAATGAATGCCGCAACTAATTGCATATTTTTGCTCTTTAATCTTGCCAAATCAAGCAATATATTTACTAAATCATCATAATTGTCTAATTTATTTTGAATATTTTTAATTTTATCGATCGTTTCTTTCATATTACCATACTTAAGCTGATTTATGCACTGTTGGATCTGTATCACAGGCATAAGGTCCTGTGGAATTAAAGATAAAGAGCCAAATTGCATAAATGTCAATTTTTACAAGATTTTATTTGAGATTGTAAGAATGATAGAACCATATTCGGCTTTGCCTAAATAATACATTTATCGAGAAATATTTTTGAGATGTTATAAAATACAATATTGACAAGGAAATTATTGGCGAGACAACAACTTGGAATAAATAATTCATATAAGCTGATGTACATAATGTAGTTGGTTAGAAAAATAACGATTGGTTTCCTATATTTTCAAAACATATATATACTTCAAAAAGTTTAGTAATATACAAACAAATTTATAGGGAAGCTAGGAGGAACACAAAAGGGATATGGCCATTGCCGATTTCTAATCGCTTTGGATATCTAAATGGAGCCCTACAGAATGGACACATAGCATTTATTGATGCACAGTGCATTGCACAATTAAAGCAAACCTTATGCGAGCACTCGAATACTATTGGTTCAATCATATCTTCATAACAAACTTCGCAAATTGTTCCAGAGCTGACTTCTGTATGGACAAGTAAATCTCGTTTATTTTGAAAATGATCTCTCAGAGTTGCTTTGAATTCAACGAGTAAATAACATATCATTGAAAATTTGATGATTAAGTAAATATAGAGGACGAGAACAGTCCCTAAATAGTAATGATAAAAAATAAACCAAATTGCAGTGTTTGTAACTGCACGTATTAGTACAAATATTCTTTGAAAGATTCCTACAAGTCCACATCGTATTGAACTAATCGAAAACGCATTTACTTTGATGAAGAAACACTGCATTGATGCAGAAATTGAGAAAATCGAAATAGTATTTAATAATGATCTCATATAAACGTCTAAGTACGATTTATATTGATAAGGTTTTGAAATAATGTAAGATAAGTATGCAATTATTGCGAATATGCATGCATTTAATAGAAGATGCGGCGGTTTTTGATTTGCCCACTCACTTGTATTAAAATACTTGGAGATCTTTCTTGTATGAATTGTCTGAAGTATTGAAAAGATGCCGACCGTACAAAATAACTTGCAAAACAACGTTGTATATTTTAATACCCAACGAATGATTACTCCAAGAAAACAGATCATGGAAAATAAAGGAACTATCCTAGAATAGTTGTCCGTTATAATCCAATGAACTTTCTGTTTCTGTGGAGGAGAAAAAACCATACAATAACTTTTTTGACAAAAAAATATATCAATTTTTTGATTGTAAAATTACATCGATAATACTGGGAAGTTATCGTATCCGAACCATTATAATAATTAAACCAAAGTATAGCTTGATTTTCAATTACCAATCAATACTATCCCGTTTATGTAAGATAACAGGCTGTTTTTGCATGAAAAACATTGAGATTAGCAATGTTAATTGAATTCATCAAATATCAAATGAATTAAAACACAGAACTTCACCTGCTAGAATACATATAATGATAGCAACTGTAGGACACTAAATAAATTTTCTATTTCTTTGCTTGTGTCGCAATTATTCCTCAGTTACAAGTAATTTTATGTTTGCACCTTAATGCTTGGCGGGATACACTCTTGCACTTAGAAATAAATTAAATTGATCAAATATCCGAGTTGGACTTGACATATTCATATTCCTATTGCGAACTAGGAGTTAAACATCATTAATACACTCCATTTATTGATGATTTTTAGCTTCAGTCAACTAGCAAAACTAAAATCTGAGTTGCATACTAATTGAATGAAAACAACAACAATCTGAGAGTTTACATATCATAACTGATAGATGCAAGAAGTAGTCATTATATATCCTGTCTAGATTATCTATTTAGATATATCTTCCAATACTTAGCTTGAATTCGTGATTCTTTAGTAGATTGCTAATCATTTACCATCACCTAATACCTAAGGCAAAATTTGGTTAGATTTTATCAAATCATTGCTACGACCAAAAGATTTAGCTCTAATTCATGGAATTTTTGTAGGCTTATGATAGTAATGCCAATTATGAATGAAATATAAGCTAATGTATGGTAGTTTCAAGAAACTCAGAATAAAGGAGATATATCTTGGAAAGGAAAATTATTCTGAGGTATAGGTCTTAAGTTTTGTAAAAAAGTTTTGCTTGTAAAACAACAAGACAAGTAGTTTCGAAAATTAGAAGATATTCAAAATTTACTGCTTCTTGCCACCCTTCTTGCCAGCTGGCTTCTTGGTTTCTTCCTTGACCTCTTCAACCTTCTCAACAACATGATCTGGGTGTGGGCCATAGCACTTAAGGTCGTGGCCATTGATGACTGGGACGATCTTGCCTTCAGCTGTTAAAGCTTCGAGGGCCTTGCGAGCGCAGGTAAGGGAGATTTTATAACGCTCGGCGAGCTTGCCAGCGGAGATGACCTTGTTCTTTGGAACGGACTTAACCATATCAGCAGCCTGCTCTGGTGTGATGATGACGGCCCACTCACGCTTCTCCTTGTTAGTAGCCTTGGTCCATTTCTTACGAGCGCCTCCTTTAGCGGACATAGAACTAAAAGGACGCCCTAACCGCCAAAATTGTGAGTATTTTGCGGTTTGGTTTCAGCTCGGCCACGACCTCTCATATATCGTATAGTTGATGAAAACTTTCATAATTATTGGAAAACGGACAATTTTTATACTCGCTTAATATATCCTTTTTCTACCGATTTTGAATCAAAATTAATAATTTGGCAATCATAGTAATTTACCATGACATATAAGTTTTCTATCCTTTATTTCATATTGTTGTTGAGTTTAAATAAATATCTTTTATGGAATAAAGAATCGAGCAGTATAAAGAAGGATATATGGAAAGATAGATAGTTTAAATATAATACAAACAAAATAATATATACATAAGTAATGGTGAATGCCTTGAACTAGAATATAATCATTAAATTTTGTAAAAATCTAGTCAAATGCATGATTTGCTCTTTTGCAAACACCATGATCACTGTTGTCCTCAAGTGGCACAACTGTCTTAAAGGAACAGTTTAGATCATTGTCAATCTCCAGAAGAGCTGCGTCGTTTCCAAAGTCTCCGCAATAGTTTGGGGCGCTAAATACTGTAACAATAGACATATCTGGTGCATATGGGAAGTCGTATCCTAAATCTACAGCTTGATGTCCTCTGACAATAAGATCTAAATCATTATCATGCAAAAACTTCTGTACGGGAGATTTTCCAAAGAGATATGACAATCCTCTATCAATGTTATCTTCAAATTCGTCTGTTTTCTTGTCAGGATCTGACCATAACAAATCTAATATAAATTCTTGCTTCGAAAGCTTGTAAGGTCTGCGAATTTCTTTCAACTGGGAGACATATTTGAGATTGGGGCAGATTCCACCATGAATACATAATACTCTTCCGTCAATAATCGCAGAAATTGGAAGCCAGTTAAAGCATTTGTTAAATGCCTTGTATAATTTATCGTGAGAATGCGTTTCATAGCATTCTCTCAGAAATCCGTACTCTCTATTCACATCTTTATCTTCATGATTACCACGAAGCAAAAAGAAGTTTTGAGGATATTTAATTTTGTAAGCAAAGAGTAAACAAATTGTATTTAAGCTTGAGTTACCGCGATCGACGTAGTCTCCTAAAAATAAATAATTCGTGATTGCAGGCGAACCTCCTGCCTCAAACAGTCTTAGTAAGTCATGATATTGACCGTGTATATCTCCGCAAATAGTAACTGGTGGCATGAGTTCTAAACAAATTGGTTGTTTCTTAAATATCGCGGTAACTTGTTCGATTAACCAATACATTTCTTGAGGACGTATGAGATTATTGTTTATCTTCCCTCGTCCCTCTGTCAGGAGCCTGTGAATGATATCATCAACACTCACAGGATCCAAAATACTCATTTTTACTAAAAAAATTCAAATTCAAAAATCAAAAAAGTGCCAAATTTTAGAAAACGTGACAAATTTCATGTCAATTCCTCCTCCTTCATCTTTAACGCCTTCTCCAAGGGAAAGCAAGTCAAGTTTCATATACAAATCGTATGCCGATGGGTTCTTTTCAATTGCAATTGAGTTATTGAATAAAGTCAAGAAATCAAATGCTTTACCTAACGATATTTCGTCTTTTAAGAGAAGACTTAGAGAATTGCATGAAACATGCGAAAAAATTGATACTAACGTTGCATCCAAGATCGCAGATGTCGAAATTCCAAAACTTGCACAATCAGCGAATGATTTATGGGGAAAAACTAAAATAGAGTTGAAATCAATGACACAAATGCCATTAAGAGTCGAATTCATATCAGCACAAAACACAGAATTGATCAGAATTGGCAAAAAAGCTCTTACAATTATTGAATTAAAAGAAAAGTCAACAATTTTATCAGCAGAACTATTTAGAGCTATTTCAAACATCGTGAATGGCTTTCTCACAATGTTTTTATCTATTTTAACACCAGGAAGAATTGATACGACTCAAATTAAATCTGTGATCGATAATATTTCACAATTAATAAAAGATCTACCAATAAAGTTTACAGCATTCTGTTTCGAAGAGAAAACTTCAACAAAAACAGAATTTTACACTTATTTAACAAGATATCTGAAAAAGATAAATTCAAGAACCCAACAACTCTTAGAAGTTGGTAGTGACCCAGCCGAAGTATATCCGTACATCCATAGCTTAGATAAATTCTTTTCTCAGTTAATGTCAGATTTCAAGGTCGAAACCTTCTTCAAAGTCGATCCTGAAGAGTTAATTAAGACGTCCTTACGATATATGGATAAAGAACTTTATCCTGCCTTAGGATCTAAGAAGTTTTCAACAGACGTCCAATCAATGATCTCTGGAAGCACAGTTGTTAAAGTTCCTAATGACGGAAGCACTATTCCATGGTATGTCGATCCTATTTTCATAGAATTGAAGCGATTGAACTCAGAATTGGAAGAATTAGCTGATATGAGACTGACAAGACACGACGCATTAGTTTCATCGAAAGACCAACTTAATGCAGAGGAAGTAGCTTCTCCTAAGAAGAATGAAATGAATGTACATCGTCAATACGGAATTAAAAACGTTATTGAAGAAACAATTTCGGCTTTGAAGCTACAGATCGAAGAAACAAAGACTAGAACTGATGATTTCAAGTCAAAGTCTTTAAATCCTTTATCAGAATTCCAAACAAAGTCGAATAATCAAATAATTCCTTCAGTTTTAGATTATTCGATAAAAGAAGGCCAAAAACTTGAATCATCAAGACAGTCAATGGTTGAAGCTCTCGAAGTTCGTCATAACGCCGTTTTAGACGAAATTGACAGATATCTCGGATTAATTGACACAGAATCTAATTCTGTCAATGGATTCAGACAGAAAGTCAAACAGCTTCAAAGGGAAATCGATCACGCGAGACAAGTCCTTGATTCCGCAATTGGAGATAATGATCCACTTAAATCTAAAATTGAAGATCTATCCAATGAAAAAGATGCATTGTCGCAAAGAGCTCTTGATTTAGATGCAGAAAATTCGGCAATTGAAGCTGAAATCTCTCAATTAAAGAAAGAAATCGCAAAAACACAAGTTGATGATGCAAATTTCACTGCTGATTGCAAAGAAATTGCTGATGGACTCAGAAAGACCATTAAAGAACTTTCTGATCCTTTGGAAAGTCTCAAAAAAGAATTGGAACAAATCCGGCAAAAATACAAAGAATCAAAAGAATTATTACCTAAATTAGAGGATAGAAGAGAGTTCTTGGCTGAAGAAGTCTACGGATATAGAATAAGACTTACTCGCGTCAAAGCTAGATGGGATTCATCGAGATTACTCGCTTTAAGTGAAAAACTTTCGCATTTATAAGTTTTTTTGTTAAATTAAATGTTATTTTTCTTGTTTGTTAGTATAAATTTATTTTATGTTTTTATTTGTCAATAATATGTGTGCGTATGTGTGTGCTTACTTGCTTGTTTGTTTGTTTGTGTGTGTGTGTGCGTGTCTGTATGCGTGTGTGTGTATGTTAGCTTGCTTGCTTTTTTTTTGTGTGTGCGTGTGTGTATGTATGTATGTGTGTGTGTGTGCGTGCGTGTTTGCATGCTTGTTTGTTTATTTATTTGTTTGCTTGTGTGTGTGTGTGTGTGTATGTGTGTGTATGTGTTTGATTGTTTGTTTGTTTGTGTGTGTATGGTATAATAGATACAAAATCTAGGGACCACAATTGAATATTTTGCTGTGGAGAGTTTTTGAAACTTCTATAGTGTAAACTTATTTTATATATCTTTGTAATAGTGAAGTACCCATGAATATGAATGCGTTTGCAATTGTGTGCTACATGAGTACATTAATATGATTATATATTTTATTATTGAGCTAAGTAAGCAATTGCGACATGTCCATGATGCTATTCTTTGTTCATTATCAACTTTACATCTTATCTATACATTATAATATAGGATGCATCTTGTAATTCACATTAGACTCTTATTGAATTTACATATTGCACCCTATTTTTATGAAGTTTTCTTATCATTCTATAAATATTTTCTCAATAGCAACAAATCTACAACTCGCATTCAGTTCCGATGTTAGAGAGCAAAATTTTTACCGATTTTTTGACATCGATAAAAAATTGTCCAAATTAATTTTTCGTATATTTTGTGAATATCAATATTATGGTGAAATTAATTCAAAATAATTTAAATTGTGTCGGTTTGTAATTTTTTTTATAGAACGTTTTTTTGATAAAATGAGTGAGCAGCAAAAATTCACACGCCCACCATCGTCACGCCAGCCATCGTCACGCCAGCCAACTGGCATGCGCCCACCAAGCTCTAGATCACGCATTGGTGGTGATGTTGGCCTTTTCAATCAAAGAATCAACACATCAAACAAAACAATAGAAGTTCAAGGTTTACCTAGTGCACATAAAACAATAGGCACAAGACAGGTAGCAGATAACAAATTTTACATTGGTATTCTTCGTAAGCGTATTAATGAAATAGTCGCAGAAATTGAAAGACTCAAAGACGAAAATGAGACTCGTAGAAGAGGCCAAGCTATATCAGTTTCACTACAGCAAGAGGTTGGCGACCTTAGAAACCAGATCGCTCAACAAGAAGCTGAATTAGCAGATTATAACGTGCTGGCTGATAGATTGTCTACCAAAGTCTCATACGATGAAATGCAAAAGGCTCTCAATGACTTAATACAATCCAACTCCCAACTAGAAAAGGAAGCAGACAGATTGTATCGTGAGAGAAAAGATCTCGATGCCATCGTTACTGATCAGGAAAATCAAGTCCAGGAGATGATGCGTGGCAATGGATCACCTCAATTACAAGAAATGGTTAAAGAGATTGATTCTCTTGAAGAACAATGCCGCGAACTTCGTGGAAAAACAGGAGATCTTTCAGGAAAATCACGTGAAGAGCTCCTTCAGATTGTTAAAGATACAACATCTAAGATTGGAGATATTGATAAGGCTATTCAAGATGAAAATAAGAGTTTACAGTTCGTTGATCAGCAGATCAAGAACCTTGAAGCTCGTGAAGCAGATCAGAATACAGAAAGAGGCAAAAAGTACTTAGTTTTGCTTCAACGTGAAAAAGATATGAATAATTTCATCAAGAACTATCCAACAACACTCGATACAGCTCAAAAAGAACTTGCAGAAGCTCAAAAGCGCGTTATCGAAGTACTTACTACTACATCTCGCGATTTGGAAACTTTAGATAAGCTCCCAACGCTTGAAAACTTCCATCAATTACAGGCAGACCTCGAATACAAGGCCAAACAGATGACAGATGCCCAAGCTACTGCTCAGGCTCTTCAGGCTGAAGTCGAACAGCGTCGTCGTGAATTAGAAGACCTCCAGAACGTCGATGAAAAGATCAGACAAGAAGAACAGTCCATAGAGAAGCAGATAAAGAAGATGAATGCCGAATTACCACAGTTCCAAGACGTAGAAACAATCAGACAAGAAGGAGAACTTAGAAAACAACAAAAAGAAGCAGAAAGAGACTCCCTCAAAGAGCAATTTAAGAATATTAGAAAGGCAACAAATGCTTTAGCTACACAATACAACGAGGCTAAAGCAAACCTCAGAACAAATGAACAACAGACGAAACTTCACCAACTTGAAAAAGATTTGCAGAGCAAGGCACAGGAAAGTGCCGAAATTATAGAGCATATTGAGCAAGAAAGAAGAAAGACAAACTATGCAATGGTTAAACGCCAGGCCTTAGCAATTGTTAATGAAATCAACCAGGGTCTTTAATATTAATATGTAAAAATATATTCTTTTCTATAATAATCTTACAAATTCTTTTTATCTCTGTTCTAAAATCCTTATCATTTTCATAAAATTTCTAAAAATTGCATTTAGTGTCTATTTGATTTCATGTTCAAAAAAAAAAAAAAGGTAGTGGGGCTTCCAGGCACTTCGTGCCCTCTAGCCCCGAAGATGTTTAGTATAAATGAAGTTTTTATTCGGAAAATTGTTAGTCTTCTGGTGTGAATTCGGAGGACTCTTCTTCTTCCTCCATTGCTTCTGGGAAGAAGCCTTCTTCTGGGTCGAAAACATTATATAATGTGTCGCTTTTCACAAATTATATATGTTTTCATGTTTTGTCACTTTTCTGTCACTTTTCGGGTAAAAACATTTTTATTATTATATATAAATGAATTTTACAAAACCTCCGTTACCGTTCTTTGGAAATAAGAGTAGATGTAAAGATATTATATTGAGAGAACTTAAGAAACTACCGAATGGTCTAACATTTGTAGATTTGTTCGGTGGAAGTTTCTATATATCCCATTTGTGCCATACAATATTCCCAGACTCAAAGATTATATGCAATGACTTCGACAACTATATGGACCGTCTCAAACATATACCAGACACAAACAATATATTGAAAGAGTTAAAAGAAAAGATACCTATAGGTAAGATGGAACGTATACCATTAGATAAGAAAAATATTGTGAGAGAGGTTTTGAAAAAAGCAGAATATATAGACTGGGATAGTATATCTGCTAGACTATTATATAGTGGTTCTATAAGAGTTCATGACATTGAAACACTTATGTCAAAAGTTTTATATCTTAACTATACAAATGTTTTCAAAGAGGACATAGAAAAATATATTGAGGGTATAGAGTTTGTGAGATGTCATTGGACAGAGTTGTATGAAAAATATAAAGACAAGGAAAATGTTTTCTTTATAGTGGACCCACCGTTCTATAACACATGGGATTTTCAATACCAAGTAGACTGGACTTTGAGAGACTCTTTAGAAACTTTAGACGTTATACATAACCATCCATGCTTTTACTTTACATCCGATAAAAGTGGTTTGGAAACCGTTATGAGATGGTTAGAGGACATACATGACTATGAGTTTATATATGACAAGATAGAATATGAGAGAGGTCCTATAAACCGGAGAAAGTGTCATAACAAAGAAATTTTATTAGTAAGTAAATGTGGTTTGAAATCGGATTGTTAGTTTTAGGTTTTTTCCATTGTGTCATTTATTTCTTTGACGTGGCAGAAAGATATAGAGAATATGAAGATGAACCAATGCCTGCAAATGTTCAGTATATGTACTCGTAAGAGATATTTTTATCTAATATTAAATGGACGCACAGAACTTAGCGAATGCACAGCAACCTGGACAACCAAACCCAGAGAATATTCCAAATGAAGTTAGAATACAAACTGCAATGGCAAACTATGGTCAAGTGCCAACAGATGTACAAATGCAAACTGCCATGTCAAATGACGCTGCGTTAGGTTTGCCACCATGGTATGCAAATATGAGATGGAAAGAGTTTTATACAAACCCTGAAGTGGGATATAAACAACTTTATGCAGATGACGCGAACACAGGAGTTGACCCAGAATATGTTTTCTACCAGAGGAGAAACAGAATGTATGAGCTCCAGTTAAAGAATGCTATGGAACTCAACAGGAAACGTAAGAGACTAGGCGGACATTAGATTTTTACATATAGTAAAATGGGTTTCTTCAGTAAGATAGGAAACTTCTTTCGAAATGTTGGAAGAGGTATATGGAATGGAATAAAAACCGTAGGAAGAGGAATTTGGAACGGAGTCAAAAATATTGGTAAAAGAGTAGGTCAGTTTGTTGGTATTATACCTAAAGACCCTGAACCAGAAGAGCAAGCTCCTGTTATACAACAGCCTGAACCTGCACCACAGTCTAGTTGGCAACCAAATCCAACACCACAACCGGTATATTAAAAAATTATATTTTTACCGTTCGATAGTAGTTGTATATGAAACTAAGTTCTAAGTAAAACGCATGGTATAATGGAATTATTCTTTTTCTTCCATCTGTAGTAAACCATACTTGAAAGTCTGAAATACTTCCACTTGGTGGTTCGTATAACTTTGTAGGTTTTTCGTAAAAGTCATTTGCCAAGCATAAGAAAGAGTTTTGGGCGCCAGAAAATGAAGCATGAACAATAATAGCAGCTGGGTCGAAAACATTTTCATATGTTCCATTAGGGTTTTCGACTTCATAAAAGTCTGGGTGTACTGGATATGCTGCAGGCTGATTTAACATCCTCATAAATCTATACCATGCCAAGTTGTTATATTTTGTAGAAATATAAACGTTTTCTCCAAGGTCTTCTATTCTATTGATTTTAACAGTTGCATTTTTCCTGTCATAAATAATATCGAGATGGTATTCTCCTTCGTCAATGTTATACTGGTTTGCATATTCGATATAGATATCGTTTATTTTTTCTTGAAAAGCTTGAAGAGTTGTTTCTAAGTTTACAAGCAAACTAACTTGTAAAAGTTTTCCCTGTTCAAATTTCTCATACATACGTTTTTCTTTGTTATAGTATCGAACTTCAAAACCGACCGTAAATGGGAAACCATGTATGGCTTCTGAAATGAACTTCATTCTACGAAAGCCAATAGCTTTTGTGACAGATGGGTCTCTTAACCATCTTAATGGGTAGTCAAAACGATAGCCTTCATGCTTTACGGTCTCTGTCTCAAACTTTTGACGACATTAGTAAAAAGTTCATCTAATGGTTTAGTTGTAGCAACTCTTGAATTTTCTTTTTCTATTGGAAGCATATTTTATCTAGAATAAAAATGTCGAAAGATATTGCTTCCATGAGAGAAATACAACACAACCGACAACTCATTATGCAAGCTCTAAATAAGAACACAACAAACTTTTCAAACTATTCTAAGATATCTGAGTCATTGAAAGAAGGAAACTTAAAACTGACAATAAACCCAATGACAGATGAGTTTCTGTTTCAAGACAATAAGAACCATACTGTCTGTATAAATCCAACAAAAGGAACTTTAAACGAGAAACCTATAAATGAACTTCTTTTGAAAGCAGATGTTGACAACAAAGCTGACAAAGAATATGTAGACGATGCAATAGCAAAAGAAGAAGAAAGAGCTAACAATGCTTATGCAACAAAAGAACATACTCATCCTGAACTAGCAGACAAAACATATGTTGACAATAAAATGTCAAGTGAAGTGACGAGAGCTGAAAACGAATATTCTAAAAAGACTCATACACATTCTATATCTGAAATAACAGACTTACAAGAACCTTAAACAGTAAAAGTGCCGTTGGACATACACATACCATTGCAAATATTACAAACTTACAAGAAACCTTAAACAGGAAAAGTGCCGTTGGACATACACATACATCTTCTGAAATAACAGACTTAAACGTTAGCCTTGAAAGAAAGCAGATAAAACATATGTCAATGAAATATACCAAAGTTTGATAGGAACAACAAAAATATTGAAACTATTGTTGGTGACTTTTCTTTCAATGAAGAAAATAAATATTTAGATGGCAGTTTGTACAGTCCTTAAGAAATGGTATACGGTATAAACTCATTCCGAAAAATAACAATGAAATGTATGTAAGCTATATAAAGAATGATGGTACACAAGTTAAAGTTCCATTAGACAACAACTGCTACTTAAACTTATATGGAGACGAACAAAAGAAATATTTCCGAGTTTATGAAATGGCAGATATGACATTGCCTGACCCAGCTCCAGCACCATATTATTATGACTATGTAGATGACGAAGGAACACTACATGCAGATGAACAAAAGCAAACATTATATTTAGATTATTATAGATATAAAAGATATAATGCAATAGAAAAAACGAGAATAGTATATTATTATATAGATGACAGAAATAAATATTATAGTCAAGATTTTACCTACCCTGAAAACATAAGATTATATTATAAAAAATATTCTTACACAAACCAGAAAGAAACCTGAAATAGTTGCACTATATTTTAAGTTCAAAAAGACAATCCTATAATGTCTCATATGTTTGATTTAATGAACCCAGTAGGTTCTATTTATACATCTATGGATGCAAGAGGTCCTCAAGTAATGTTTGGTGTTGGTGCATGGGAACAAATAGTCGACAGGTTTTTGTATTGTGCAAACTCTTCAAAGGAAACAGGTGGAAGTAAAACGATTTCAGGTGAAAATTTACCTGCACACAGTCACTACATAGATTTAAGTACATCTCAAGCAGGTTGGCATAAGCATAGATATTGGGATTGGTCAGGAATGACAAAAGGTAAAGGATATGATGTTAAAGACGAGGTTAAGTTTGCTATAAATTGTTACTGGAGTGACACTCAGGGAGAAGGAAACCATACACATCACGTTTCAGGATATACGCAAACAACGGGACAAAGTAAAGAATACATGCCACCTTACATGACAGTTTACGCATGGTATAGAAATGCTTAGTCGTCATTTTCAACTTCTTTAGCATATTCGTCAGGAGTTGTCTTATATTTGTTAGGAACTGTCTTTGAAAGTATACCACCTTGAACTTTGACAAGTTTGAAACGAGGTCTGACAATAGTAGTTTTATCTTCTGCTTGCAGTGTGTACATTTTGCCATGTTTGCCTAAAACTTCATAATATTCTCTTGTATACTTTCTTCTATTTTTACGAACACGAACGTGAGTACCTGTCGAGTTCCCATTGTTGTCATAGTCAATAGTATTTTCATATGGGTCGCGTTTAGGTATTTCTATTTTTACTTTGTCACCTTTCTGAAGTTTGAAGCCCGGCATTCTTTCTTGTTTGTCTCTTTTGACTAAATTATTAATATATAGTCTTTCTCTAAGTCAGGGTTGTTTTTCATTTCTTCGGGGGAGTGGTTTCCCAAACCTTTTTGTTTACGGCTATTGTAAATATTTAAAACTTGTCTCATCTTTGCCATGGAGAAGTGTCTATATTTGTCGTCATATGACATTTCATTTGCTTCACCACCTTGTGGTTGGTTTAAGTCTCTTAACATTTTATACAACCGTCAATGACACCAAGAGCAGAATGGTTTTGGTCGACAATGAAATATTGGTTTACATTTTTTGAACGCAGATAGTTTTTTACATCATCTGATTTGAAAGAACTTTCACAGTCAGATGTCAGTTTTGTTGGATGGTATTTGTCAACGAATATTGTCAAAGCAGTTTTCACATCTAAAATATTTTTGGACCATAATGGTATGGCTTCACAGTATCTTGTGTTTTGACCGACAAATATTAGCCAGTATGGTGGTCCATCTGTTCTAACTCTCGGAATGTTTTCCAAGATATCCATAAACCAAGCATTTGGTGTTGAACTAAAGATTTTTATCATGAGTGCTTTCTTTGTCGCTTTAGAAACATAGGGGTCCTTGTTTGGATTCGTCATTTTTTATCCTATAAGAAATGGGTTTATTTGGCGCATTAGCAGGAGTTGCATCCAGATTTTTGCCCGCAGTGGGAACAATAGCCAGAGGTGTATTTGGAGTTGGAAGGAAGATTTTGAGTACATTAGGTATACTTAAAGAGAAAGCACAACCTATTATACAAACTGTACAGAAAGGTTGGGATGTAGCACGAGATGCAACAAATCTTATTCCAAATCCTGAAACAAGAGGAAAAGTTCAAGGATGGATGGACAATGTAGGAAGACAAGCAGGAAACTATTATAACAAAGCAAATGACTACTATAAGCAAGCAGGACACTATATGGACCAAGGTGAAAGATTCTTTAACAGAGGATATAACCATGCACAACAATGGGTAAACAATAACCAACCTCAACCGCCTCAAACGTGGAATGTAAAGTTTTTTACTGAGATGAAATGAACAATACAGCATTGAGACAAATGGGTTCAAGATGGATTTGTCGGCTTCCAGCAGTTACACAACGTGTTTGTCAAGTTCTTCCTATACCTCAGAAGTTTTAGACCGACTTAAAAAACAAAACAACCAGTTGAAAACAAACCAAACTAAAATTTTTTACTGAGATGAAATGACCGAAGAAGTTGAAAACGGTAGATTTGACACCACAAACAAAAAGTTCAAACCATTGTCAAAACTGTCAAAGAACTTACAGATGAAGAGAAAAATTCAATAATAGAAAGTGCCAGGTCTGGAAATACAAACCCTAACTACAAAGTCACTTTCATAAAAATGGAACGGCAAGTATCTCAAAAAGAAACAGACTCTCACAAATAAAATATTGAAGTCTGAAGGAGCTTTCGAGACAACAGATGGAAAAGTTTACTTCACTGACCAACAGTTCATTATAGAACATCTCATTGACTTAGAGTCGAAATATTCTAAACTTTACAACAAACACAAAAAGTTGAAAGGAAAACAAAAACAAATGGCATATGATATTTATGAAGATGTTGACGACACAACTGTTCCTGCAAGTGAAGTAAAGTCAGAGGAACCAAAAAGTGACGAAAAACCGATAGAAGAAGAAAAAACAAAAACTGAAGATAAACCAAAACCAAAGTTTAGTTTCCAAACTAAACCAAGTCAACCTTCATTAGCTGGTATGGGTTGGCGTCAAAGACTTATGGCAGCAGGTGGTTATGTAAAGTAAAGAAAAAAATATTTTTTTATTTTTATAAAAATGCCCCCATATAGAATGGATAGAAAATCTGCTAGAATAAAAGCAGAGTTGCAAAGATATGGTTGGAGAGTTTCGAAGAATTTTAAATATAGGAAGGGAAGACCCATAAAAGTCTATGACAAATTGTCTGGTCTTCGCTACGAAATGGATTTGGAAACAGCACGTGCAAATTATCCAAACAGACTAGAGAGGTTAGAAGAAGAACGTCTTATGGACATGCCTTTCGATGTGTTAAACATTGCATGAAGTAAAAAATTTATTTTAAAAAAGTGACATTTTTTAATTTTATTTGAAATGTACGCTGAGTTTGTTGGAGAAGACCGTTGGGAAACTTGTTTGTTAGATGAGAAATATGAAATGGCATACCATTTTAAAACAATATATTTTTACATATATTAAATGCTTCAGGTTGAAAAACAAAGAACAAAAGTAGCAGATACAAAACCGTTAGACTATATCTTTACAAATGCTGGTAGGACTATTTCAGATGAAGAAATTTCATCCCGAACATACAGGTTTGACTATCCAATTCGTTGGCTTCAAAGTCCTTCAGATGCAAAGGCAATAGGATTTAGAAGAGTTTTGTTTTCAAATAGAACTAACGCATTTATGTTCGCAGTATATTTTCATGGGCAGTATAAAGGTTCTGATGGTCTAATAGACAAATTTGACGAAATGAGAATCTTTACAGTTCGTTCAGACGAAAGTCTTGAGAAAACTCTAAATGACTTTCAAACTCAAATGAACAAATATTATTGGGAATTTCAAGAAAAATACGACTCTTTACTAAATGGAACATACTATCTGAAACTAGAATATGACAAGATGAACTCCACCGTTTCATTTCAAAAGATTGAAATTAACCCTCCAAGAGATACAGAGTTTTTATTTTGGAAAGTAGACAAACGTTCTTGGGCACAATTTCTTCGGTTACTAAACCAGAACGAACCATTACCACCAGATGGTCCATTTAAATTTATACTTCCACCAGCAGATTTGACAGTTTATAGAAACGTGTTTGACCCTCAAAATGTTATGTGTCATGCAAGTTTCAGTTCAAGCAACAATAGTTTTCTATGTATTGGTAAGGACTTTTATGACTTTGCTTCTAAATTCTACGAACCACCTAGTAACAGTTTCTCTGACTTTCAAGTTTGGTTCACAACAAATGGTGTGCAACATATTATTCCATTGTACTATGACTTTTATCTCGAATTGTCTTTCATATATAACTACGGAAAAGTGCTGAAAAAGTATTGAAAAATAATGTTTATGTTAGCATGTTAGATCTAACACGTTTTCTAACCACTTTTCTAACATCGTAGAAAACTCATGAAAACAATTTATTTTTGACACTTTCACAAAAAACATAAAAAAGTGCAGTTAAACGTTAAGGTTTACTGAACTGGTTGGATGTCGCCTTCACAGGTTATGTAGAATGGTTGACCCGAGAAGTGGAACAGTGCTCTGAGAATTTGTATAATTCGTGGAATTGGACTCTCTCTGTTTGGAAGTAGTATCCAAGGACGCTTGGCAAAGAACTTTATAATGGCTTCCTTCTTTGCTTGCTTTATGTCGTCGTAGGCTGTCCCGTCTGGTATTTGAATTGGAATTTCGGTCGAAGTCTCGAGATTCAAGACAGCCCTTCCAGAAATAGTGGTGAACTTGACCTTGGGCTTCATGACCTTGCGCAAGTAGTCTTTTACGCAGTCGTTTATTTAAATTAGGTAAACTGCCTCGTCAAATCCTTCTGGCATTCCGAGTCCTTCCATCCGACAGGAAAATATTTTCCCGACAACTGGAAAAAATTTTCCTTCCGACAGGAAAAATTTTTCCTTCCGACAGGAAGAACTCTTCCAGTTGTCCGTCCGTAAACCATTCAAATTTTCGAAAATTGAGAACTTTTTGGTCGAACTTCAGAAAAAGTTTTTCCTTCCAACAGGAAAAAATTTTCCCGACAACTGGAAAAAATTTTCCTTCCGACAGGAAAAGTTCTTCCTTCCGACAGGAAAAGTTCTTCCTTCTGACAGGAAAAGTTCTTCCTTCCGACAGGAAAAGTTCTTCCTTCCGACAGGACACAAACGAATGTCCCACGTCCCACCAACCCAGTCCATTCCCAAACCAGATGAACCTAAAGAACCACAACAGTCTCCTCAGCAAGCTCAGTTCCAGCAAGTACCTCCACCAAATTACTACCAATTTCCACCTCAAGGTTACTACCCACCACAAGGCTTCCCGAACTACCCTCCTCTGCCTATGCCTTACTTCCCCAACCCTTGGATGTTCCAGCAAGCTCCACCCCAGCAATTCCAATCTCAATCCAAATCGAAGAGAGACCAAGAGTTCGAAGAAGGTCTGAACCGTTTACGCAAAGAGTATGCTACAGCTCCAATTGAGAGAAAGTTGTTCCCGGACCAAAAATATAATTTAGGGTAGAAGGTGAGATCTCACCTGTTTTTTCACCTGTTTTTTCACCTGTTTTCTACCCTCTTGAATTTTCATGAATTTCCTTAAGATAGAAAAAATATAATTTAGTTTTATTTTTTTATTTTGTATTTTTTTGTATAAAAGATATGATTTCAGGGATTTTTTTGACGAAGTGTCAACCTTCACTTCGTCAAAAAATAACAGTTATCTAATGAAAAAGTGTCATTTTTTTTCATTTTTTTGTATAAAAGACATGATTTCAGGGATTTTTTTGACGAAGTGTCAACCTTCACTTCGTCAAAAAATAACAGTTATCTAATGAAAAAGTGTCATTTTTTTGTATTTGACGAGAATGTCGGGTAAATGTTTTGTCATGATTTCATCGTAAATGTTTTGTCAAGACTTCTTCGTATATGTTTTGTCATGACTTCATCGTACATGTTTTGTCAAGACTTCTTCATCGTAATGAGCGTAAATGTTTTGTGAAGAATATAGCAACAGTCTGAATTCCGACGGTTGCTTTTTATACAAAATTCATGCAGGAAATTCTTGAGTTTTGGTTGAAAGAATACGGTGGAGCCAAAAGTGGCTCGACCTCAAAACAAGCATTTTATGAGCTTACTAAGGGTGTTATGAATGAATTCAAATGTATTTACATACATCCTGACCTCGTTCATTTTGTTGCTGAATTCAGCAAAAATAATGTTTAGGTGAAGAGGTGAGATCTCACCTGTTTTTTCACCTGCTTTTTCACCCTCTTGAATTTTCATGACTTCATCGTAAATGATTTGTCATGATTTCATCGTAAATGTTTTGTCAAAACTTCTTCGTAAATGTTTTGTCAAAACTTCTTCGTAAATGTTTTGTCAAGACTTCATCGTAATGAGTGTAAAGGACCCAAAAATAATGTTTAGGTGAAGAGGTGAGATCTCACCTGTTTTTTCACCTCTTTTTTCACCTCTTGAATTTTCATGAATTTTCCCGAAATAAAAAATAAAGTTAGTTTTATTTTTTTTATTTTTTTTATTTTGTATAAAAAAATAAAAATGTCAACAATCGGCACAACAGCAATACAAACAACTACAGCACCAAACTCTTTAGTCATGAATCCAACATCTATGTTAGTAGAGATGAAAAGCTTCATTCCTTCTTCATATACTTTCGAAACAAAAATCCAGAAGATAAAGCAAGAACTTTTAACAAGTAATTTAGACTGTAGTGCGAAAGATGAAACAAATGAACAGTATCTTTATGAAATGGAGGACATTATTGACCATTTGCCTAAATTGCCTGAAATCCAACAACAAAAACTCACTATTCCTGAATTCGACGAAATTGAAGTCAAAGCAACTGACTCAGTAGAAATAAAGAAGTTCATACGAAAGGTAAACTATGAGTTTCTAGGATTTCATTGCAACCATAAGGTTATGGAAAAAGATTGCGACATGGTATATAAGAACATCTCTGACATATATAAATCTGAAGAATTTAAGACCTACGACAACTTTGTTTCGTTAGTTGCTGAATGTGTATGGCAGATAAGAGATGAAGATAGAAGAGGTAAAGTATGGAACAAACAAATAAGACCCGCTATGTTTGAGATGAAGAGAGCAATTGACGCTTTAGTTGTTTTAGCAGGTAAGGTTTCAGAATATAACGCAAAAATGAACCCGCAATGTTCTAAATGTAAAGCAGCAATGAGGAAATATAACTACTCCGTCAAAGAGATAGAACGTATGAGAAACGACTATGCAGACTTAAAGAAAGAAGCAGAAAAACCAGCAGAAAATAAAATGGACATGTTAGAATTTCTGAACAAAAACTATCCAACAGCAGAAGATTTCCTTCTATCTGACGTCAAGAAGAAATATAAAGAAACTTTCGGTATCGTTAAAACTTTTGACATACTGACAGAAGAAATAGAAGCTACGAAACTGTTTAGGATTTCAAATATACATCGTACAATTCATGTAAAACGCTTGTGAAAAAAAAGAGGTGAGAAAACAGGTGAGAAAACAGGTGAGATCTCACCTCTTCACCTAAACATTATTTTTGCTGAATTCAGCAACAAATTTCATGAATTTCCTTAAGACAGAAAAAATAAAGTTAGTTTTATTTTTATTTATTTTTTTATTTTGTATGTAAGAACATATATGACAAACATTGAGTTTGAAACAGTTAAAAAGATAGACAATGACACCAAATTGGTTAGAATAGGTGATTTAAACGTAAGATACTCAAAGAAATACAACAAATATTCTTTGTCAGACATTATATCTCCATTTGGAAAGAAACCGAAGGACTGGGTTAGAAATGCTTCAACTCAGAAATTTTTGACAAGAAATCCTGAGCTTATGATATCAGTAGCATTTCATGGAACAAGAGCATATCTTATAGACAAAAGTCTTATACCAATAGTTTTGTTATGGTTAGACCTAGTTGTTGGATATAACTTCATAACATATGGTTCATTCGATACGGAACGTTGCAGTGAAGGCTTACTTTACATCGTTCAGAAACCGAAGGACTTCAATACAAAGAGATATAAGATAGGAAGAACATATAATATAACTCAAAGATATGACAGTACAGTCAATAGAGTCAAGGTTGTGTTCGTTAATGATATGAGAGCTGCTGAAACAGAACTGCTTGAAGTTTTTGAGAAAATGTATGGTGCTCCCACGAAAGGTAAAGAAACGTTTGAAGTAGATAAGATAGATAAAGCTATAAAATTATTTGACGAAGTTGCTGAAAAATACATGTAAAGCGTTTATTTTTGGTCTTTTGTGAAAGATAGAAAATAAAGTTAGTGTCATTTTTTTGTATTTTTTTGTATGTAAGATATGATTTCAGGGATTTTTTTGACGAAGTGTCAACCTTCACTTCGTCAAAAAATAACAGTTATCTAATGAAAAAGTGTCATTTTTTTGTATTTTTTTGTATGTAAGATATGATTTCAGGGATTTTTTTGACGAAGTGTCAACCTTCACTTCGTCAAAAAATAACAGTTATCTAATGAAAAAGTGTCATTTTTTGTATTTTTTTGTATGTAAGATATGATTTCAGGGATTTTTTTGACGAAGTGTCAACCTTCACTTCGTGTCATAATGTAAAAATAACGTTTACCATGTAAAACGGTTGTGAAAAAAAAAGAGGTGAAAAATTAGGTGAGAAAACAGGTGAGATATCACCTCTTCACCTAAACATTATTTTTGCTGAAAAATGACCAAATTTCATGAATTTCCTCATATGCTTGCTTCCCTCGGAAAACCGAGAGAAGAGATTCCGTATGAAAACAGTGAAGAACAGCGAGTACGTAAAAAAACGTAGTCGCCAAAACTCTATGAAAACAGTGAAGAACAGCGAGACCGACTTTTTTCTGGGTCGCCTAAAACTCATGAAAATCGTGAAAAATAACAGAGTATTTTGACAACTTCAAACAAGTAGGGTAAATGAACTCTTTATTTTTCAAGCTTGACTTTTTACAATTTGAACTTTGTTTGCGTAGATATGAATTCTGAAAGAAGTATGAGGGTCTTGTATGACTTTGTACTTCTCCCATAGTTCATGTCTGTCAAACTTACCTGCCATGGACTCTTTCATAAGTTCCATGAAATCGTCTTCGGACAATCCGGGGAAAAGTACAATGTCAGTAAGTATTCTCTTTACATCCTTACTTAAACTCTTTGCTGTCTGTACACATATTACGACTGAGATGTTAAAGTGTCTGAGCTTCTTAAGAATTCGACACATATCTTGTTCTCTATTCTTAAGCAAAGGATGAGAAGCAAAGTCATCTAAGATAAGAAGACATCTATGAGGGTAAGTCTTCCAATCGTAAGATTGCAATTTCTTCGAAATGTATTCTATCTCTTTCTGTTTGTTTCTGAAGTGTTTCTTCTCTAATATTCCTGCATTTCCTCATTTGGGTCTTTAAACTTAGAATTTATATACTCATTTATAGCATTATACTTCAAACTCTTCTTTGGTACTTCTTTATCCAATCTAACAACTCAGTATCCTTTATACATACTAACTTAGACTTCTTTATAATATCTTTGAACGAATTGACGGTTTGGTCAAATTGACCAGAAGTACTACAAATGACAACTAACTCATAAAATGGGTTCTTCTCATCTAGTTCTTGTTGTTGTGCAGCCATTTTAAGATAAGTGAAAGTCTTACCCGACCCAGGTGGTGCAATTAGACCTGTTATACCATTCTGAGCAAATAAGAACTTGTCATGTATAGGTTTTATCTGAGCATTTTCTAACTTCCTCTTGTTCTTGTTTAAAACATTCTCAAATTTCTTGTCAATGTCAGCAAAACTTTTTTTCTAACATATTTTTAGAAAATTAAAATTTTTATCTTTTAGAAAATGTCTAGCGATTTTGCTATCTATATTCGGACAAGCTTTTCGACAGCAAAACATCTGTCGACCATAAAATCTTACATAGTGTAAACAAGAAAGGTGAATTTGTTCTAAAGTTCTGTTTCTGGGAATATGACAAGAACCATAAAACATAAGCAGAGAAGTCTTAAAATTTGTCAATGACAGACTTGTTGAACAGAGATGACGCCTCTTGGAGAGATGAAGTCCAACAAACTTCTTAGAATGCAAAGAAGACACATGCGCCGTTCTTGAAGATGAAATAGAAAACAGAATAGAAGAGCTATTAAAGGACAAAGAACTTTTACATAAATATAGTTGCGCCAAATTTGACATAACTCCACCAGAAAAGAAGAAGAAAGAAAAAGAAAGAAAAGAAAGTAGAAGAAGAGAAGAAAGAACCTGAACCAGTTCCAGAGAAAAAGAAATTTGACATGTAAAAATAAAATTTTATTTTTAGAACATTTCTGGGTCAATGTCAATGTTCTCTTCCTCTTTAGGAGTAAACACTGGCTTAGACTCTAAAATCTTTTTACCCAATTTACCTTGAACTTCTACAACTTTAGACTCATAATATTCATAGTCGTCTGTCTTCTTTGGTTCATAAGGTATAACAAGTTTGTATGCTTTGCCTTCTTTAAGGTTTGAGAACCTTCTGTCAAAACTTTCTTTGACTGCTAACAAACCTTCTATGTCTAAGTCTTCAAATTTCGCACCATTTTTAGTCACAATAGCAAACTTAACTGGTTCGATGTTCCAAACTTTGCTGAATGAAGACTTTTCAAAATGGTAGAAGTAAACATTCAAATATGTGAATGGGTCTAGTTCTTCTTTAAGTCCTGACATGTACTTGTTTACTGAGATGAATTTTGCCATCTTTTCTATCGGATAAAAAAAATATTTTTTTTAAAATTTACTCATAAAAATTTTTCTTTGTATATACACATTCTGTACGTCTAAAAGACTTTTGACATTTGCCAAGAATGTTCGTTTAGACGCTGTCATATAACATATTCTTGACAATATTGTTTATACGAATCGTACAATGACCTTTCATCTAAACACAAAGTCAGTTTCATCTATGAACAGTTCATATACACTCTTGTTTGCTTCTAACAATGTTTGTCTCTCTTCGGTATGTGGAATTTGTCTTGGATTGAACTTTGAAATATCTAATGTCATAAAATATGAGAACAAGTGGTTGTAAAAGTCAGATGTCAAAGTTTCTGCTAAGTCGTCAAAATATTCTGTATCTTGCATATGAGCTTCTGACGTTCTGACAACTACATATCTTCTGTCAGAACTTTCTAACTTCATCGGAACAGAATTGTTTGAAACCATAATGAAGTTTGCAACATTTTCACAAACTCTTTGGTCTTTATATTTTCTTTCAACAACTCCAACTTTGTCTGTTATAAGACTCTTCAAAGCATCTGAGTTTAAAACTTTTGTTGTATCTATACTTTGAAGTTCATTGCAACTATAAGTTTCATATTCTCTATTGAGGAGTTAAACTTGCCACAGATGTTTTCTAAGTTTGTCATATTCGGATTCGAATAACCTTCTAACAGTTTGCACAAAATATCTGTAAAGAATGTGTTCTTACCAGTTCCTTGTTTTCCAATTATAATGAGAGCAGTTTCATTTTAGCACTTGGATGTTGTAAGATGTTTGCAAACCAACATAAGATATACTCATAGACTCTTTCGTTTCCTTGCATATAATTTCTTTGACATGGTCTAACCAAGCTTCTATAATATTTTCTTTCCATTCTACTTGTTCATATTTATATCCAGTGAAGATAGAATAGAAGTTTGGAGAAGGTGTATAGAACTTTATACCTCGAACTGAAAAATCTTCTAACTTTGACAATAAGATATCCCAAGCATCTAACATCTTCATGCCAACTTGTACGACTTTTATTTTCTTAAGTTTCTGTCTACATTCTTGTTCTGAAACTATTGTCGCTTTAGGTTTGTTAAAGACAACATCCATTCTTTCATGACATAACATTCTGGGGCAGAGTCGACATAAATGACTAAACGTTTCAAATTCTCGACTGCTTTGTTATAGTCTCGAAATGGACACATATTTCTGAATGCTTGGAAGTCATAAAAATCTGAAACATCTATTCTGTACATTTTTATAAAAATAAAAAAAATATTTTTTTTATTCTTGACTTTGTTGTTGCATTTGTTGTTCTTGAGCTATTTGTTGTTGAAGTTGTTCTTGTAATACAATACTTTCACCAGTTGCATCTTCCAATTCGAAACTTTCTGCCGTCATTGACAAATACATAGGACATAAAAGTTTTACAGGAACAAAGTTTGCGTCAACTAATGTCAACGTTATACTTGCCAAAGTGTTTGAGTTCACTAAGGTTGAAAATTCTGCATTCGAATGAACAATAGGCAAACCAGCAGAGAAAGTATTGTTTATACGCATAAGTATCTTTTGGTCATAATAGTTTCTGTCGACATTCGAATAACACTTTGAACCTAAGTTTGAAACAATATATAAGATTGGTGTGCTTATGTCAATGGAATAGACATTCCTTGTATGACACCTTTTCCTGTTATAGGAAACTGTTGGTAGTAAAAACCAGAAATAAGTTTTGTATTATAGCTCATATCGTTTATAGTAAACTCAGTCAGACATCCAAACATAATGAAACCTGCTCTAGTTGCAGCAATGTTACACCCGTCCTTAAAGTATTAAATAAGTCAACAAAACCTGTTGGTGGTATATCTGAGTAAGTATCTTCAAAGGAGTATTTTTTACCATTCACAACAATAAAGTCTTCTGGTGTCAAAAGAGCAAAACAGGCTTTAGTCGTCATTGTGTTTAAAGTTAGTTTACAATATCGTCCTTGAGGACTTTGTAAGTTTGTTGTTATAGAATTATATGACTCAGGTTTTTAGTCGTAATAGTATAAACCATTATATCTTCTGCCATTTACTTAGCAAATAAATTTTAATGAATGTTGTGGTCGTCAAATATTTTTATGACGTCTGGGAAACTATACTTTAAGTTCAACGTTTCACCTCCTTTCATAACGTATATCTTGTCAATGACATTATATGAAACACCACAGCAACTAATGTCGGGTTCTATTTTTTGATGTTTATATCGTCTGCCTCTGTCAAAAGTTTCAATAGTTCTTTCAAAACTTCATGAGGTGCAATGACATATGAGTTCACTTTTACAGGGTTGTGTTCGACCAAGTTTAACATTATACTTAAAGCTTGACAAATCTTCTCCTGAGTTTGAAGTTTGTCTTTCAGTTGTTGGTAGTCGTTTCGAATATCTGCAACAGAACTTAAGTCTCTGCTAACTTCAGGATATGTTGGTTGTTCTTTTACAGGAACAATTGTTATAACCATCTTCGTCTTCGTATGGTTTCCCACTTCAACATCTCTGTCTTTGACATTGACAATAACACTTTGACTGTTTGTTTGAGTTGGTGAATTTAACTTCACATCTGCCACCGCCATTAAACCTTTTGAAACACTCACGCTTCTATTTTTCGGAAATGACATTTTACTTAGAATAAAAAGATGGACGTATTCGGATATCTCTTTGAATTGAAGCAGAACAAAGTTTACACACACAAACAATACAAATACATTGACAGAATAGTTCTTTATACAAACAATGGTAAATGTTATAGAATAGCAGTCTTTGCTGAACCTAAATATTTTCATAAAGCAAAGAAAGTTGGTATAACTGAAATGGTGAAAGTTCTTGAAGCAGACAAAAATATAACTTCAAAACTTACAGATATTTCTAAAGGTAAGTTTATCTTACAATATTATGTCAAAACTGGCGTACTGTCAATATTTGACGGAGAGAAGTCAGTTCAAGAACAACTTACTGACCTGCTGCCAAAATCTGCTCGATGGAAGCTGTCGTTATGCCAATCTGAGGAGCCCCAGCAGGTTTCATCGAACGAATCTTCAAAAGAGCATCTTCCGTGAAAAGTGCTATTGGTTTTGTAAACTTCTTTGCTCTCAGTTCATCTGGACCGTCTCTGTCACCAGTATATTGTATTTGTACAGTACCAACAGTTGAAATACACCCATAAAGTCTTCTGAGTCAGCAAATGGAATGCCAAGCCAAAAGTTTGAACGGTCTCCATTTGTATATTGAGTTTTTTGACCTCCTGTATGAGTCCATACTTTCACATATGGCATAATAGAACTTTGCATTTCAGGGTTAATGGTTGTTGTGAAGTTGTTGTTAAAGTTCATAGCATCTAATGTCAAGTTGTATGACCTCATATCCTCAACTGTAGAATATTCTTCTCTTGGATAATATTTGCCATCTATGTTTATATGATATTTAATACCGGGTTGTAGAAACAAGAATAGTCATTTATAGTTCGTCTGAACAGTACAAACATAGTATCTGCATGTTTCATTGCAGTTGTTAAAGCAATATCTGTTCTTGCACCTGGGTCAGCACTTTGGTTTCCAACTTCACCTGCAAAGTCTTTGACAGATATTTGGTGTATAGGGAACATAAGTGGAACTGCAATATATTTGGCAGCTAAAGCATTTGAAATATCTGGGTCCAACATATAGACTGCAAGTCTGCTTTCTATTCTCTTGCATTCAAACTTTTCGCATGTGAACTTAACTGGGTCCCAAGCAGTTCCAGCAGCATTGAAATAATAGTTTACTTCATTGTTGAAGTTTGAGAAACCAAAGTCTAAGTCAACTTTGTCTTTGCAAAATTCGGCGAATGACGTTTGATTTGTTCCCTTTACGTCTGTAATAGTGAATGGGTCTTGTGTTGGTGCAATGACTAAGTTATTTTTGCTTGGAGTAAGTTCGATAGAAATTTTTCCTGCCCAGTTTGGCAAGTATCTTAAAAACCTGAAGATGAGGAAAGATGACAAAGGAACTCTAAGTTTCAGTTTTACTTTGGTTACTGCTGCTGCAGTTTGTCCAGAAAGGTTAACATAAACTCCTGGAACGTTAGGGTCAAGTCTTCTTATTTTCTCAATATTTGCATACTGGTCTGTTTGTTCTCTAGCTTGTGGTTGTACTGAGTTTCTCAAAGCGAACCATTCATAGTTTGCCATGTTACTGTTTGAACTAAGTCAGAGTTAGAATATATCTTATATCCCATGAAAACTTCTGGAGCATATTGGTATCCGACATAGAAAATTCCATTGCAACCTTTCTTGTCAGACAACTTGGCAGAAGGTTTTATTTCAATGTCTTGTTCCACGTATAAGAATGAGTTGTCAATAGAAATAATATGAAACCTGTCGCAAGCAATATCTACTGTTGTTGAAGAACCTTCTCCAAACTCACCTACGTTTCCATAAGAAACAGCAGTTGTATATTCGTAAGTTCCAGGAACTATTTCTGACCTTCTAATGGCATTGTCGCATTCGTTATACCATTCGGAAACATTTCCGTTCATGGCATCCAAAACTGTTGGCGTTATATTCTGAGCGGCGTACATTTCATATGGGTAAAAATATAGAATAGTTGGATTTTATATCATAATAGAACCCACTCGTACCAAGCTTTACTTTCTTCCTGACTGAGTTTTTAACTCTTCTTTTTCCTTCATTGCCACTACTTTCACTAGATGAAGTTACTTCTTCACTACTTTCACTTTGTTCTACTCTTCTTCTTTGGTGTCGCTTTTGGTAACTTGCCCTCTGCTTCAAGTTGTTGCATCTTTGCCTCATGTTCACCTAGTATGTTGTAAATTTCCCATGTCCTTTTTGCCTTTGGGCTCTGGTCGCCCATCTCAGGTAACCTATATCCTAGAAAGATTTCGTCATAGTTTGTATTTGAGTCTTCGCGTATTGTTTGCATGACTCTTTCCTGAGTTTCCGGTTCAAGCTCTTCAAACAGAGCTTGTCCATATGGAATAAGCTCGTTTCCAAATATATGTTTTTGTAGCCATTCTGGTTTTCTTTCCATGTTACCAATAATATCTTTTGTGAATGGGAAAGCTTTTACCCAATGTTTCAGTCTTGCGTCATTTATTTCTGTAGTTGGTTTTATTTTGTCAAGGAACATGTTTTTCAATACTAACATTTCATTTGGTACTGTCCATTTGAGTTTTCTTAAATATTCATCCCTTCTCGGTTCATTGTCTGCAAAGTAAGTTTTTATGACATTTTGTAAACTTTCGTTTGCAAGGTCATGTACAATAGGTTCTCTTCCTTCTATCTCCCTAACTTTCTTTCTAAACTCTTCACCAAATATACCATCTCTATGGTTCTGTGTAGTTCTTTGAGATAAATGTTCTAGAACGTCAGGTGTTATATTTCCATCAGCCATGTTCATTTCATACTGGTCCAAAATATCTGCATGTTTCATATCTTTCAATGGCATTAAAGCCGCGCTGAAAATACCAGCTATATCTGGTTCACCATTCACTTCCATTGCGTCTACAACTTCTTGGAATTGTGGTTGTAAGTTTATGAACCACCTATCCGGATTAGCTTTATGACCCCATCTCATTGTAGTTCCATAGTCTGCAGAAACAAAAGTAGGTTTGTTTCCATATTGGCTAGGTTCTGAATGAACTTTAAACAATGTTTCATTTCTATATGTTTTGGTGAAATTTAACCTTTTATTTTCACCGAGTTCAGCCAAAGATTGAACGTTATATGGTCGTAAGTAAAAAGGATTGTTGTATTTGCGTACATTTTCTTTCAGTACTTCCATTCTATGCTGAATATTTTCATCTGATGTTGGAGTCTTTTGTATGTCGGCGAACATTTTTCGATATTCTTCTACTATGTCAGCCGAATTTTTCTTAGACTCTTGGAAAGATTCCATATTCCCCGCATACACTTGTTGAGGGTCAAGATTTTTCGGCTGTTCCAAATCTTCATCTAGTTCTGTGAAGTTAGTTTCCAAAGGAGGGACTTGTTCGTTTCCTTCAGGCTCTTCTAGCTGTTGTTGCTGAACTATTTCTTCCATGTCTGGTTGTATCTGAACTTCTTCCTGTGGAGTTTCTTGTACCTCATCTGCTGGCATTTCATATATTCCGAGACCGTTTTTAACAAGTTCCCTATTTAAGCCATCCGCATTCATAACCCTTTCTTCTTTCGTTCCGTCTCTATTTTTTACGCGTTTCATGAAGATAGTTGAATTATCATTTATCTCTGACACCAAATATCTCGGAGTAAATTCATCCATGTCATTTGGATGGTATGCTATTAAATCATATCCCTTAGCGAGCTTGTATTTTCCAGGTTTGAAATTATATCCCATTTGGTGCTGAACCATAAAGCTAAATAGGTTCGGGTCAGTATTTCCTTCCTTGAACTTTCTAATAGCTTCTTTATATCTGTCACTAAAGTCAAGAGTATCTGGGTAACCATAATTTTCCTTAAGCATTTTTAAGAATTCTTGGTTTCCTTGTTCTCTACTTCTTTTATGTCCTTGCTCTGTTTGTGGTTGTGGTGCTGGATTTTGAACTGTTGGTTGTGGTGCTGGATTTTGAACTGTTGGTTGTGGTGCAGTGTTTTGAACTGTTGGTTGTGGTGCAGTGTTTTGAACTGTTGGTTGTGGTGCAGTGTTTTGAACTGTTGGTTGTGGTGCAGTGTTTTGAACTGTTGGTTGTTGTGTTGGTTGTTGTGTTGGTTGTTGTGTTGGTTTTGGTGCATGCCTGTGTCTGTGTCCATGTGACGATGTAAATGTTTTAGGTAGTCCTGGTGCAGGTGCTTCTCTTGGAGGGTTTGGTGGTATATAAGTTCCACCAGCTGGCACATATGTTCCATCTGCAGCATAATGTCCTACCTGACTTTTCGTTTTTAAGAAAGCATTTACTAGGTCTGTTTTGGTCTGTTGTAACTCTTTTTCTTGACTTTCCACAACAGTTGCTCTAACGGCGTCATAGGCACTTTGAACTGCCTGTCTCGTTGCTGCATCTGTTATTTTCGTCATATTTTGTGCTACTTCTCTTAACTCGTTGTCGAAACCTTCAGACTTCAGTTTCTTTCCAGATGAGAAGTCGTTCACTAGTTTCACCTTACTATGAAGAGCTTCGAAGGCGTTCTTAAAGTCAGCATTCATTAAAGCTTCATTTGAACTGTCTTCATCCGCTTGTATTTTTGTCCTTATTGACCCTATAAGTTGGGCTGCTTTAGCGTTGGCTTGGGCATCTAACCAGTCATTATTAGCTTTTATATATTCTGCGCTTTTCATTGCCTTTTGCATGGCTGCGTCGTTATTTTTACTTTCTTGTGCTAAGTTTTCATACTGTACGGTTTGGTTTTGCAACTGTAAAAGTTTTTCTGCCTTTACATTTGCTTCAACTTCTTTTTTATACTCATCGCTATCCATATATGTCTTCAGGGCTTTTTGTTTTATTTCTTCATCTTTCAGTACTTTATATTGAGTAGTATGGTTTTTCAAATTTATAACATCTTGTTCCATTTTTGCTACTTCTGCTGCTTTTTCTGACACTTTTTTCGCATATTCCTCTGTACTTAGTTCTTTCAGTTGTTCTTCTTTCTTCTTTTTCTCTACGTTTAACTCATTGAGTTTCTTTGTGTGTCTGTCATATTCTAGTTTCTTTTCGTTTTCACTTATTTGTTTCTGTATGTCTATGTTTGACTTTTTGACATCTGTTATTTGATTTTTGAGTGAACTCAAATTCATTTGACTTTGAGGGTTATAAGCTGTTCCGTCTGCAGCTCCACCATAGCCTGCCATTTTCGCTAAAAGTGCCGCTCTTAAACCTCCACTCTGTGCACCAATAACTCGGTTTAAAAGCATAGGGTTGCTTGACATTTGTTGCAACATAGTGGGGTCATTCATAATTTGTTGTTGCAACTGTTGTTGTGGTGTCAGTTTTACTATTGGATGTTTCAATGCTCTCTTCCTCTTACGTATATTCTTACGTAGCTTACGTGGCATTTTAAGTGAAGTAAAAAACGGTTTTTGACAGATGTTTATATGACACTATTTGTTCAGCACAAAAAACTACTCGGTCAAAGTGTTGTCAGTTTTGTAAAATAACCGTCCTATCTCATTCTATAAGGGGAAAAAGACTTCTCAAAGTATACTTCCGTGGAACGCCTGTAACTTTTCCTGTAGCGACGATAGACCCTTACTTGTCCGGACAAAGTTATACTAAACATCTTCAGGGCTAGAGGGCACGAAGTGCCTGGAGGCCCCACTACCTTTTTTTTTTTTTTTTTTTTGTTCTTTTCAAAAATGTCTTATATAAGCTATTTTCATATCAATTAGTCACTTCTATATTGTCGCACAAAAAACATCCGAAATAATTTTTTTTATTATGATAAGTTTTCTTTTAGCTTCAGTTAATTCATACAGAATATGTCCAGAAAAAATCCCAGCAAGAGATGATCTTTACTTCGAAAAGGAAATTAAGGCAGAACACTGGGCATATTTCACTGTTAAACTTAATGAATCGCAAATTGGTTTGCGCTGCAATATAACTACCACAGGAAATGCTTCTTTTTATGTTGGAAGCCATAGAAAATGCCCATACAAGGAAGAGAAGCCTTTCTTCCGTGGCGGAAATGTTAAAAATCATATCTCAACGATTTGGAAAATTTCTAAACAATCATTCCCATTTGGAATTTATGCAGAAGACGAAGCAAGTGTTGCTATTACGTTTACACCAATTTCTGTCAATCTTCCAAATTTGAATTCAGCTCTTTTCAAATACGGACCTTATGTTCTTTTAGTTTTAGCCGTATTAGGATTCTTATATGATAAGTTCCCATGGAAGAGTCTTATGTTTTGGAAGAGGAAAGATAAAAGAAGAAGACACCATAAGAGGAATTAAATAAAATGTATATATTCGATTCATGTTCCTATTGTATTTCTACTTCACTTACATATACTAAAATCTATATTTTCGATCATATTAAATTGGAATTATAGAATTTATTCATTGATGATTGATAAAACCTATTATTTCTGGTTTTTAAAGTATATAAACTTCAAACTCAAAAGCTTAGAGTAATTTCACTTATCATGTTACCTTAGATTAAAAAAATTAAAAAATGGTTCCGCTGGGGCTCGAACCCAAGACCTTAGCGTTATCAGCACTACGCTCTACCTACTGAGCTACGAAACCTTGGCGATTACCTATGAAAAATATTTAAATTTAATGACTTACCTATAATGCATAAGTAAAAGAATTCGAAAAACTTCTCAATAAAATTCAGCTTTTGTTTTGATTTTTGGATATGTATAATTCTGTTTTATTTATTGAACTTTCTCACAGACACCACCAGCGGCCTTGATCTTCTTCTCAGCTTCTTCTGAGAAGTCCTTAGCACGAACAACGAATGGGATCTTTGGAAGTTCGCCACGAGCGAGAACCTTGAAGAATCCGTTCTGGACGCAGTCGATAACTGGGACAGCATCGCCCTTCTTAGCGGCGGCAGCCTTAACACGGACCTCTTCTGGAACAAGTGTCCAAAGCTTGTCAACATTGATTGTTGGCTCGTATTCATCAGCGCGGTTCTTCATGAGGTGAAGGTGGCGCATACCAACCTTGCCGAAGTAGCCTGGGTGGAAGCGATCGAACCATGTTCTCTGATGATGCTGACCACCAGCACGGCCGTGGCCACCTGGTGAAACACGGTGCTTACCGACACGGCCGAAACCCATAGAAACCTGACCACGAAGTTTTCTGCTCTTATGGAAACGAGTTGGCATAAGGAAAAAGGATAGCCATAACCGCTCAATTTCCTATCGTCCTATAGCCAATTCTGAAATCATACCTCTGATAATTCTCGAAATAAATCCTTATTAAGCATTAATTAATTTTCCCTCGATAATAGTTGCCATTTTCCTAACTAAATCATGAGTATTATTTTTTATTCGTCTAAATAGTGGCTTTTCTGTTTAAATAATATGGCCTCTTCAATTTTCACAGACGAATAAGTCTTCTTTAGGCCATATTAGTGTTAAAATTATCATAATATCACTATTTTATGTATAATGAAGGGAATCCAAAGATCTTGAAGTTACCAAAATAACTATTTCATGATTTCAACAATATATAAGAAGTTCTTGTGCAATTGACAAAAGATTAAATACATTTTGATATCATACCACAATACACCTAATACGTATCAAATCATTGCCTTTTATCACTAATTTCTATTTGATTGGATATTGAAATTCCCCGAGAAAACTTATATTTCAAGGATATTTTTTCAAATTCCTGCGTAATATAGAGACTTTGATTAATATAATCATTAAAACATGATGTTTTAATTCAATTACTCCTTAAGATACAAATTCAATATCTAATAGTGGGTTCGAAATTTTACATTCAGAAAAAATTTCCGCGTATAAAGGATGTTGCTTGTTACTGGGTGCTTTTTAGACAATGTAGAAATTGTCTATCGTTAAATTTTTTCAAAACACATCATGATGACGATAGGGGTACATCACTTTGATTAGGAAAAAAATTGAATGAAAAAGGGAAGTTCCCTGTTTGACTTCATTTTTCAAGACAGACAATGCCTACACCATACATCCTCTTCTGCTCAGACATGAGATCCAAGGTCAAGAGTGACAACCCAGGAATGTCGTTCGGAGATGTTGCAAGAACCTTAGGAAAGCTTTGGAAGGAACTTCCTGAGGAAAAGAAGAAAGAGTATAAGGAGAAGTCAGACGCTGACAAGGAAGCCCACAAGAACGATCCTAAGCCAGAAAAGAAGTCTAAAAGAAGCCCAAAGAAGGATAAGCCAAAGAGTTCAGAGGAAGATGAGAATCAGGAAGAATGAGAAAACTATTATTAGCTTAGACTAAACAGAATTATACTAAAACTACATTTTTACTATATTACTACATACTAATACTCCTTAAAGCTGATGATACCAAATATATTAAAATTATTCTGGAGATGAAGAGGTATTTAGATGAAAATACTCGATAGAAATCAATGGCATTAAGTTTTGTATCTTTTAATACTATCTTTCCTTTGATATAAATTTATAAATCTTTATCTATTGGTTTTCCAAGCATGCCTAACTTAATGTTTTGCTATCAAGTATTATTTATGCAATATCCTGGCATACCGAGCCATGATGGTGATTAAGTTTTAAATGAAGGGGTGTTTAGAATAAATTTGGGGGAGGGTGTTTATTTTTTTATATTTATGAGTGACTTTGAAAGTTGGAAATCACAGAATTTCGGGCAGATTGACAGTCTGGCCAAACTAGAGAATATAAGAGCCGTATTTTCTAAAATTTCTCCATTATTTGCATCGCTCTATAAAAATCAAGATAAACCCGACGAATATCTGAATGATATTTCAGCAGTATTAGCAAAAGTTTTTCCAAATGATACAATCCCAAGCGTATCCGATGTTAATGCATTCACAAAATTCTTATTTGACAAGCAGGAAGTATTAAATGCAAAATCTATTGATGGTATCAAAAACATCTTCCAATATGTTGATGTTGAATGTCAGATCTTTAGGCCTATCTGGGAATTTGCTGAAGTTGTTAACGATCCACACTTATTTTTGAAAGTTTTAAGTAATGCTTTCCAAAGACCTCAAAGCTCCCCAATGAAGTTCAACATACAAGTCGTTGAAATGTTATTCGACCACTATTGCCCAATGCTTGAGCCAACAAACGTAGATAACGAACAAACGTACGTTTCCAGGATTGAGCTTATTAACGCGTTAATCAACATCTCTGAGATCCTTACTAAGTGCGATGATGTTGAAAACACCAAAATTGTCTCTCTTTTAAGAACAATTACAAGAATATCCAGAAGATGCAAAGGATTCATTTCTATTGAAGCATTTCGTCTTGCTACATCATTGTTCAAGACACACGTTATGAAACTATCGCCAAAAATACAAGCAGACGAATTAATGAAATTTACTTGCGGATATCCAAGAAATCATCCACTCCATATGCCAGCTATAAGATTCGGTATCGCTATGCATCCAGAAGCATTCGGTTTCGTTTCGCTAGCAAAGAATATTATTAATGCCGGAATTATTGACCAAAATGATGTTTCTATCATATCCAGAATTCTTCAGTTAAAGTATGTGAAGAATCCTACCGACGTTTTTAGCACTTTATACAAGGTTTTCATTGACAACAAGATTTTAGCAAGTTCAGTAAGAGTAACAGTCATGAAGGCATTTCCAAAGTACGAATCAATCTTAGAACTCAAGAATAATACAAAACAATTCATTAACAGAATGATTGAATTCATATCTTTCGCATTAAAGATCAAAAAGTACAATCATCGTATACAGCGCTGTGTAGAAATGCTCACTGATTTCTATAATCTCGATATTGCTTGGCTTCATACGTTTATTGACGAAAGTTGCGCAAATGGATTTGAATATGGCGGAATTCCACGCGAAACATTAGCTTTCTGCACAGGAAACGCCACACCAGATGAAAAGATGAAGGAGGTCTACTCAATTGACGTAAAGAATGTTAATGTCAAAGAATATATCGAAAAAGGTTCAGCAGCAGTTCAAAAACCAGAACCAACAGGATCTAAACCGAACTCAGCTCGCAGAGGAACATCGAAGAAGCCAACAATTGCTGAAGTTAAAGCAATGTACAGACAAAAAATGGCACAAGGAAAATTCACACCTGCAAATGACAGGTCCCTTTTAAAAGCTGCTGCTTGTGCTTGTAAAAATTCTAGTGATGAGGAAGAAAGCGAAGATTCTACAAGAGATTAAATCATTGTTATTTAATTATTTTTATTCGAGTTGAATAAAGTGATTATTATGTTTGCCGCACTGATGTAAATGTTAAAATCGTGTTTTTATGAATATATAAACTTCTTGCAAAAGAAATGATTTTAGATATTTCATTTGACATCTTTATAATGGATTAATATGATTATTTTATCAAATGGTAACCTCATATACATGATCTCATACTGTAATAGAGCTCCCTCTATTATAGATTCCATTACATATCATATAAAAAAATAAAGAAAAATTTTTCTCCCCGTCTTATTGTTTTATATCATTTTTTTCGAGGCTACCCTCAGTAAATGACATCTAAGCAAGTCATCCTTATTCAAAAACCACATGATGAAGAGTTACAGGAGTACTTTTCCAAGAGTGATTTAAAATTCACGAGCTTTTTTGTTGAAAAAGTATGCAACTGCAAAACATTAATCGAATTTCTGAATGCTTCCATTTGTGCACCAGATATATTTATTAAAAAGTCAATAATGCGCAAATTAATTCATGAATTCCGTTTCAGAGGAAAAAGCTTCATGTTTGCAGATATTAGTAATTCGAACGTAGATTTAAATGATCACGATTACATTCTATTTTGCAATAAATACGACTTTTATGGGTATATTTCAAAAGATCAAAAGAAAATTTCCCAAAGTCCACTAAGTATTAATGCTATTATTAAGGAAATATTCCCCAGTAGTAAAATTCAAATCAAACCATGGAAGGATTTTCGATTTGGAATTAAAAATGCATTTTACGTGAGATGGCTATATTTTACAGAGAAAGCTCCTCCTGATTTTCTTAATAACGACTTATATTCGTTTATTCATGACATTTATATCAATTGTATCAATATTGACAGACAAATATCCGAATATTTAGTAGCAATTGATGCAATTAATAACAAAAACCCTGTTTCAATTTATTCAAGCAATAAATTCCTTGGATTACTAATAAATTGGTACAAAAACCAGTCAACACTTCCATTTCCTTTATATTATAAGACATCAGATCAACCAGACCTTATTTTAGAAAGTAAATCTACCAAAGCCGTTTCGGTTTCAAACGAAAAAGAACAATATGTTTTCAAAGGCGTAAAAATAGAGAAACCAAATGTTTCATCATTCAAACACAAGAAAGTTGTTGAATTGAATGTGCATAAGCCAACAATTACTCCATTAAATTTAAGAAAAAGTGATGAAATTGTAAAATCTCCTCCAAAAGAAGAACAAACGACTTCAAACAATACTAATGATCTCTCATTAGTTTATTTAATCTCAGAAGGATATAATTTAATGATAAGGCAAGATGGATATCCATGTTTCTGTCCAGCATATGTATCAAAGACGCAACCAATTAAGATAAAAGTTTTAGATGCTAAATTTAAACCAATAAACCACAGAATACAATTCTATTGCTACCAAACACCTAAATATTCTTTCAGTGATGAAACGAAAGAAAGTAATATTTATATTGATGAATATTCAAGTAATATTTCTCTCACGATTTATTTCACTGACGAATTCTACACGAACTTATTTTTTAATTTCCAAATCATTGAAGACTTGAGTTATTACACTCAACCAGAGAAATACAGCATTCTCTGCCTTAATCAGAGCCAGATTTGGATTTCTGACAATACTCAGATCAAACAGTAGCTATTTTACTTTGTATAATAATAATAAAAACATTTTAAAATTGTAGAATTTCAATATTAACTTGATAGAACTTCATATTTATTTCATAACTTATTAAATCAAGAGGTTATAAAGAAATAAAAGAGAGATTTATATTTAACTTGCTAATAAATGCTGCTGTAGGAAAACTTGATATATTAAAATATCTTATCTACTCAGGTATTTATTAAGAAGTACAAGATAAAATCGAAAGTACTGATGAGGAAGAAAGTGAAAATTCTACAAGAGATTAAATTATTGTTATTTAATTATTTTTATTCGAGTTGAATAAAGTGATTATTATGTTTGCCGCACTGATGTAAATGTTAAAATCGTGTTTTTATGAATATATAAACTTCTTGCAAAAGAAATGATTTTAGATATTTCATTTGACATCTTTATAATGGATTAATATGATTATTTTATCAAATGGTAACCTCATATACATGATCTCATACTGTAATAGAGCTCCCTCTATTATAGATTCCATTACATATCATATAAAAAAATAAAGAAAAATTTTTCTCCCCGTCTTATTGTTTTATATCATTTTTTTCGAGGCTACCCTCAGTAAATGACATCTAAGCAAGTCATCCTTATTCAAAAACCACATGATGAAGAGTTACAGGAGTACTTTTCCAAGAGTGATTTAAAATTCACGAGCTTTTTTGTTGAAAAAGTATGCAACTGCAAAACATTAATCGAATTTCTGAATGCTTCCATTTGTGCACCAGATATATTTATTAAAAAGTCAATAATGCGCAAATTAATTCATGAATTCCGTTTCAGAGGAAAAAGCTTCATGTTTGCAGATATTAGTAATTCGAACGTAGATTTAAATGATCACGATTACATTCTATTTTGCAATAAATACGACTTTTATGGGTATATTTCAAAAGATCAAAAGAAAATTTCCCAAAGTCCACTAAGTATTAATGCTATTATTAAGGAAATATTCCCCAGTAGTAAAATTCAAATCAAACCATGGAAGGATTTTCGATTTGGAATTAAAAATGCATTTTACGTGAGATGGCTATATTTTACAGAGAAAGCTCCTCCTGATTTTCTTAATAACGACTTATATTCGTTTATTCATGACATTTATATCAATTGTATCAATATTGACAGACAAATATCCGAATATTTAGTAGCAATTGATGCAATTAATAACAAAAACCCTGTTTCAATTTATTCAAGCAATAAATTCCTTGGATTACTAATAAATTGGTACAAAAACCAGTCACCTTCCATTTCCTTTATATTATAAGACATCAGATCAACCAGACCTTATTTTAGAAAGTAAATCTACCAAAGCCGTTTCGGTTTCAAACGAAAAAGAACAATATGTTTTCAAAGGCGTAAAAATAGAGAAACCAAATGTTTCATCATTCAAACACAAGAAAGTTGTTGAATTGAATGTGCATAAGCCAACAATTACTCCATTAAATTTAAGAAAAAGTGATGAAATTGTAAAATCTCCTCCAAAAGAAGAGCAAACGACTTCAAACAATACTAATGATCTCTCATTAGTTTATTTAATCTCAGAAGGATATAATTTAATGATAAGGCAAGATGGATATCCATGTTTCTGTCCAGCATATGTATCAAAGACGCAACCAATTAAGATAAAAGTTTTAGATGCTAAATTTAAACCAATAAACCACAGAATACAATTCTATTGCTACCAAACACCTAAATATTCTTTCAGTGATGAAACGAAAGAAAGTAATATTTATATTGATGAATATTCAAGTAATATTTCTCTCACGATTTATTTCACTGACGAATTCTACACGAACTTATTTTTTAATTTCCAAATCATTGAAGACTTGAGTTATTACACTCAACCAGAGAAATACAGCATTCTCTGCCTTAATCAGAGCCAGATTTGGATTTCTGACAATACTCAGATCAAACAGTAGCTATTTTACTTTGTATAATAATAAAAAAAACATTTTAAAATTGTAGAATTTCAATATTAACTTGATAGAACTTCATATTTATTTCATAACTTATTAAATCAAGAGGTTATAAAGAAATAAAAGAGAGATTTATATTTAACTTGCTAATAAATGCTGCTGTAGGAAAACTTGATATATTAAAATATCTTATCTACTCAGGTATTTATTAAGAAGTACAAGATAAAATCGAAAGTACTGATGAGGAAGAAAGTGAAAATTCTACAAGAGATTAAATCATTGTTATTTAATTATTTTTATTCGAGTTGAATAAAGTGATTATTATGTTTGCCGCACTGACGTAAATGTTAAAATCGTGTTTTTATGAATATATAAACTTCTTGCAAAAGAAATGATTTTAGATATTTCATTTGACATCTTTATAATGGATTAATATGATTATTTTATCAAATGGTAACCTCATATACATGATCTCATACTGTAATAGAGCTCCCTCTATTATAGATTCCATTAGTAGTGGATATGACGGGTTTAGTGACTTTTTTTGTAAATGTAAGAATTCATACGATATTGAACGATTTTGTATCATTATTTTTGACATATGAAGTAAAAAATGTATGATTCTTACGGTTTTTATTCTTACGTTTTAGAATAAATCAAGATTTAAAAATGTAAGACATTTACACTCAACCCATACATGATGTAATAAACACATTAAAAATAATTAACATTAATTTTAAAAATAATTTATTTCATCTTTTATAAAAGAAGCTATATATAGATGATGTCAGATATTCCGCGATTAATTAAAACAAGTGTTTAAATCATGAATGGAATCAATGGAGTCATAATCAAAGACCTCATAAATGAGAAAAAGAAATTGAAACTAATGATTATTTGAATTTATGAAATCAATTATTTGATTCATTCTTTCTTCAATCTCTTCTATTCTTTTTGTTAAATCATCAATTTTCATTAATGAGGTGATTCTTGATTGAGGAATAGATTTCAAACTAACCACCCCCTTTATTTTTGAAATTTTGAATCCATCAACTTTAAACATTTTATTCAATTTACATGTTGTCAATTCTTCAAATAATTTTTTATTATTAGCATAATAGTCATTAAATTCTTCAACAGATGAAAAAATTTTTGTTTCAGTAATTGGTTTAACAACGTTAATTTTTTGTTGAACATTAACACTTTCATTTATTTCTTCCTCCTCTGTTCCATTTATTTTTAAAATCGGTTTCATTTATCATTAAATAAAAATTAGAATATAAGTGATGAAATATATTTTTTAATTAATATTAAATCAGAAATGGCGGCAGGATTCTTTAAAAAATTATGGGATGGAATTAAGAAAGCTGCAGGTTGGGTTTATAAAAAGGTTATTAAACCTGTTGCAAACTTTTTGGCACCAGTAGCGAAAACGGCAGGAACTATCATAAGTGGAGTATTAGGTACAAAAGCAGGTAATCCAGCGATGGGAGCACAAGCAGGTAACGCAATTGGTGGAATTGCTGAAGGAATACTTAATAAAATAGGTGGTAAATAGTGGAAAAATAAATAAATATTATTTTTATCTTAGTATTGGTTGTAGTCTTTGATAAACTTTTTCTCCTTTATTTAAAATTTCTCTTATTGGGGCAGCTTTTGGTGTTATTGATTCAGCTACGTCACTAATTGCTTCTTTATTCTTAAATATCCAATTTGCACCCTTCTTCAATGTTTCCCAAACTTTACTCGCTCCTCTTTTTACTCTATCCCACAGTTTCTTAAATATACCTGCAGCCATAGTTGATTATTTCATTAAAATTAAAAATTCATTTACATCTTTTAATTTTGAATTTTTATTTATTAATAAATGACGACTAACTATTTAGTGCCAAACACCAAACCAATTAATGGAAATGTGTTTCATTCATTCGAAAAGATAAATGAAATATTCGCAAAGAATGACGGTAGAAGATATTATAGAGAACTTGAAAGTTCATGCTATGACTCTGATGCTCCATATTTTGATGATAAACAAACTCATTTAAGAATTACAAATCCGGCTCATGATGTGAACCAATTAGGTGACACATATATTAAACGCAAAGTTAAAGCAACTCTTGTTTCAAATAAAGCTTTCACATGTGATGCCGCTTTTAAATGTATGCGTTTATTCGTTGGTTACAAATCATCAAATCAAAGCTTTAAACAATTAGAAGTAGAAACTGAAAGAGGTGATGCCGGTTATCTTCAGATGGATTGCGCCCGTGAATCTTTTGCATTTGCAACATATAAACCAAAATCAGAAAGGAAAGTTAAAAAGTTTGTTCATTCGTTATATAATAATGTTCAAAAATATGATAACTCAGTATGTGGTAAATATATTGACCCATCGGAAGTTTTCAAGAAAGCAAATGAAGAAGTTGATGTCACTTTTGATATGATTATTCCGGTAAATGATTTGTTAGCATTTCAGGCGTTCGATGATTATCCTAAATCATTTGGCGATATCATTCTTAAATATTATGTTTTCAGGGATACTTTAGTATTTTGTCAGGTTGACCCGTTAAGAGTTGCTGATTTACAAAATTACGTTTTTGAAAAGATAACTGATGAAAATTATGAAAAGATTATGAATCATGTTTATAAATATGATCGCAAATTCCAACAAATCGGACTTCCTGCCAAATTAATTACAGGCTTAGCTGCTACATCTGCTGACGCAACAGTTGATGACGTTATTATTTCATGCATAAAGATGGAAGTTTTAGAGGATAAATGTATTACACCAGGATACGGTTTAATTGAAGAATCAGTTAAAGCAATACCACGTTTATTCAGTAAGGAAGATCCATTCATGATACCAGCTCAACATATTGACGTTCGTTCACTAAATGGAGGTTGCATCACTCCAGAAGGTATTAGCTCAGATTTCTCATATGCTCTTCATAATGTTACAGATGTTGTGTTAACATTTCCGAAAAATGCAATGCAAAGAACAGTTTTAGAAAATCCAATGCTTCGAGGTCTTCAGGTCACTATAGATTCAAGAAACTTCCCCGATCA